GCTGAAATTAACATTAAAAAATTAAAATATCTAAAATGTGGCCTGTACAAAGATTATAGAATTACATTTTATTTTTTTACCAATATGTTTAACCCAGCAAACCGAGCACTAAAGTTTGATGAAAAATGCCAGATTTAAGTTTGTTCCCAGGAGAGGATGAATTAACCTCTGGTAAAATAAAACTACTTCTCTTTCTGATCCTGAAGTCTAACATTTCATTATCATTTTTGTTGAAAAAGCGAGGGAAACGTCTTGAGTCAGTGGAGCAGCCCAACAAAAGAAATGACAAACCTGACTGAAAATGTCAAACAGTGCATGTGGTGTAACACTTAAGCTAGTGAGCGACCCAGCCCTGGGCCAGGCTTAACTGTGGGAGGTAACGAGCATTGTCTGAGAATCTTTTAGAGCTGTTTGTTTCTCGTTTGTGTGGGTGGAAGACAAAAGACGAGAAGCAGCAATCCCGTCTGGGTTACTGTCATTTTTTATTATTTCTCTTTTTGTCGCTCCCTGAATCAACCTGAAAAAAGCCCACAGCATATTTGCCTTCGGTGAGCAGGCTGTGTTTTTGCGCTTGCCTGTTGCTATACAGTATAAATATATGTATATTCAAGGGCCTCATGTGACTCCCAGGCGCCAAAGCCACTAAAGAACCAGACAGAGTGTGTTAACAAAGTAATTATATAATTACCGTGCAAATACACACACACTCACACACACACACACACAGTCTCTCCCACACACATATTCTCTCTTTGGGTGGTGTAATGTGGGTGTTGTTTGCTATTTCGTAGACTTAGACGCATTGCACAACGCAACCTCAAATCCTCCTGCACAGCACCGCTACTGTTCACTCCACCAAAACCCAAATCAAGGGCTGTAAGCACAAAACCACACTTATTACACCTCACTTAAAGTGTGACGAGCAATTTCAGCCCATCAATTACGACCATCAGTTGTTTTAGATGGTCAAACGCATGATTAAAGCTTAAGCCCTCTAAAGGCTTCCTGGTAATCCAGTCTGCCTGAAGTAACCAGCAGCCAGAATCACCAAAGCGCCTTGAGAAGTAAAGAAAAAAAAAGGCCAAAAAAATAAAGGCAGTTATTCTTTAAAAGTTTTTTTTTTCCTAAAAACAGTACTTTCTTAATTTTTTACATTTAAAAAATGTACAAAGTTTAGTTGTTATTCTTCAAAAAGTTGTAATCCGTTTCTCTTATTTTATTTTATTTTTTTTATACTTCTGCAAAAATTATTAGGCTTCAAATAATTTCTTTTGAATTTTCTCGATTTGCCTTATTCTCTCAAGAACATATCTAAGAACAGGTCATTTTCTTAAAAAGTTCTGCATGAAAAATAGTCCAGTTTAGAAAACGGTCAACAAATGTAGACTTTATATACTTAAAAACTATACAATTTCCTATAGTGATACACTACAAGAAGTCCAGGGGGTGATATGACTTCTATTGTTTCATTTAAAAAGTGCTCTATAATGTTCATATGATCCACACAGTCACTCTGACAGACTGTAATACACTACAGGAAGCAGTGACTTCCATATGGCTTCTATTGTTTCACTTTATCATAAAATAAGAGATCACCTGTCACACAGGCAGTTCTTTTGTCATAATGGCTCAGTTAGTCGATTAATTAAACACTATGTTTTCTGTGTGTACTAAGTCTTTTGTGAAGTGTTGTTTGTGTGTTTCGGTGTGTGTGTTGTAAAGCATCCTTTAAGAAAGACACAATATAAATGAAGCTTACTATTATTATTAATAGTTAAATAATAGAAATTAAATGATTATGAAAAGTGATCATTTATTAGCAGCCCATTAATTAGCAGCCCTAATGGCAAATAATGTAATAGAACAGAAAATAGCTTTTCATTTGCCAACTTCTTGTTTGAATCTTCCGGTCCCCAACTGCACCATTTAAGGTGGAACAGGAACATTCAAGCAAGAAGTTGGTGAACGAGGAGCTGACTTCACGACTTTTTAGTGTTTGACAGTTTCTTGTTGCAGATTAAACGTATCAGGGAAACCAGCCGAAGTGACTGTAAATGGTAATAAGTCCATTCATCTCTAAATTATCGATGTTCATCTTAAATCTTTCTCTTTGCGTTTTCGTTAGCTATTAGCTAGGCAAAAGTTTTGTTTGTGTTGCTATGGTGACCAGCAGTGCCAATCTTCAGGGTTAAAGGGTGAATTAGCAGTTATACATTAACTCGTGTGTTCAAGACCATTTATTGTTAAAACTGTGTTAGAACAATCAGCAGAGCTTTATTTTACTGTAAAGGAAGATTATTTTATTTATACCTAAAAATCTAACTCTGCTGTGGAGCCGCAACAGGGCAGTAAAAGAGCTGCATGTTGCTTAAGAAAATACCTATACAATTAATTGTGTAATTGCATGCTTACCTTTAAACAGTACAGCAAAATGACAGTAAGAGGTTCTGAGGTTTAATTCCCAGAATAGCACTTCTTATGAACGTCTTGTTGTTGATTGTAATTTCTTCGGAACGCTTTAATGAAGATAGCAGAAGCTTTAGCCTCTGCTAACCTCTCTGAGAGTGTGTGATGTGGGGGTTTCCCTCGCAGGTGTGTTGGTGTGGTTGGCTGGGGGTGGTGGGGGTGCAGGGTTGAGTCCTAGGCCAGGGAAGTCTCAGACATTGGTGGCATTAGCGCTAAAGGTGCAGATTTACTGCTCAAACACGGCTTCTACCTGGGGTGGTCTTTACCTGACTTACAGACGTAATCTTCCATAGCAGCCCAGCTTTGGGTCTATCACAACTCCTCTACCTCTCTCTCTCTCTCTCTCTCTCTCACTTGCTCTCTTTGAAAGCCTCTCTCTCAAGCATTTGTTTTACTCATTATCATTGTCACTGAAGCTTACCGTGTCCCTGCCACCGATTTAGCTAATTGAAAGGTTTTGTCGATTCTTGTTCTTTGCTAAAACCCCCCACTGGCTTTGAAGGGGGTATATATTTTTATTTGCTTTGCTACACAAACTTCACATGAAAGAAACTCTTTGGAAAAATGCTCATCAAAGCAGAACTAATGCCGAAAGAACACAGGAGGCTTTTAATTGAACACTTAAGCCTTTAAATTGTTCTTTCTACAGTTGGTTATATTTGGGGACTTTTTAGATTTTCCAACAAATGTATAGTTTTGATATTCAGTCTCAATGAGACAGAAAGCACCCTTCGAAAGTTTGGAGATACCTTGTGTTCTTTTGAATTTTAGCAAGCAATATTTGATTTTCACCTCTTTTTAATTCAGCATGAAACCCCTGCAAAGGTTTGGTTACTTTAAAACAGTTGAAGATGTGTGCAAAGGTTTGGACGCCTCAGTCGAATTCCATAGTTTGTTGTAAATAAATGTGCTAATATTTGCATTAAAATGCCATCTTAAGAAGATGTGTTACTTAAATAACTTACATACTTTATTTTCACTTAGATAATCAACAAAACATAGAATTTTACTGGAGCATCCTAACATTTGCACACAATTGTGTGTGCTAATCTTTTGGATATAGTTATCTCAAACACTCAGCTATGTGTTCAACAGAGTGTCTTCTCTGATAAAGAAAAGGTTTCTTTTCTAACTGTTATTAAAGCACATATTGAAACTCTTTTGGTCCAAAGGTGGTTTAAACACCTTTGCTGACACCACAAGAGGATACAATGCATGGCATTATTCCATAGGTACAGCTCTATTACTAATACTGTCAGAAATGACACCAACAAAAAAGAGCTAGTAAGGAAGTGAATAAAGTCTTATTCAGGTGTTTCTACAGAGACATCAACACTCTAGAGCAGTTTTACAAGCCAGGTGTTTGCAGTTTACTGTATTTCAGAGATTCTCATGGGTTTTTGTTGATTAAAGTAGCCAATTTTTTCCCAATTTAGTCATGACCAGTTACACCTGCTACAATGTGGAATAATAAAAAAAAAAAAACTATTAAAAAAGTCTGGCATAAATAAAACAAAATAAAACCATTACATTTTATAGTACTTCACAGTGAAAGTTACAGTGTAGGTCTTGTCCCATCTTACGATGCTACTAAGCTGAGTAGGTAAAGACTCCACCACATCTTTACAAACTGCTGTTAATGCACAATCATTAGACAGCTCAACATGCTTGGAGGAGAATACTATCTGCTAACTCTTTCATGCCCAGAGATGGATATTCAGGTCCAAAGTAGAAATCCTCCCCAGACTTTTGGTTTCAACTGCCTGAACATCTCTACATTTAAGCTAACTACCTTCTGGACCTGAACTGCCACTACTGGCTAACAGACACCCATGTTGGCTAGCATTACACTAAGTCATGGGGGAGAGGGAGGACCATCTCTCCTACCCAGAGAGAGGTCAGTTATATTGGTCAGTTACACATATAAATGTATCTGTAGAACCATTAAAAGGATTCAGCTATTGTAACAACAATAGAAGAACCATTTTCATATACAACACAATCTCCATTAATCTGAAGAATGATTTCACAAATGAAAAGAACCATTTAAGCATGAAATTGTTCTATATAGAACTGATGTGTCTAAGTAAAACCATTGCCTTTACTAAAGAACCCTAGAAGTATTATCTTTTTGTGTGTAGACAAAAGGGTCAACGCTTAAACGGTTGCACCAATCTGGTGCCCACAACTGCCTACTTTTACAGAAAGGGGCCATTTCACTAACATCCCAAATGACCGATCACAGACTGTTGTTTTTAGTGACATGTAGGAGCAGGCGATTATGAAATCCTTCAAAGAAAACTCTTGAAGGCCTTTTAAATATCTGATTATGCAAACTTTTTTTCAATTCAGTGGACCAATCGAACCTTTTCTTTAGTTCAGTTTATTCTGACAGGTGTGAACACTCCACCTGTACTTGGGTCTGCACTAAACAAATGAAATAAATATATTTGTACAAAGCAAGTTAACTTTGTTAACTTTCTGTAGAGTGATTACTTGTGCCTCACCACAAGCATTTCAATGAATGAATGTCCTGTGCAAATGACAAAAAACTTGAAAGCTCTTATTCAGTGGTCCACACCAAACAAGGGTATGCTTTACTTCTCTTCTAGCAGCTCATCAGTGCCACACTGTCTGGATAATCTGCCTGTTTTATTGTTGGACCTCTTACAGATGCGTATTTCATACCTGCAGCCCAAGCTACTGCTAATAATAGCAGACAAGCAATGAAAAAAGAGCAATGTATTTGTCTTTGGAACATGAATTGCAGAACATATTTCTGGTCCAGCATCAGTCTTTTGGGTACTTGTAAACTGACAAAGGCCCAATTTTCCCCCTCGCCCCTACCACTTAGTCCTTAGCCCTCTGTTTTGTGCGTTCACTCCTAGGAGTAGGATATCCTGATTTTTGTTGAGATAGAGGGGTAGGGCGAAGTGTCAGTGCTACATGGCCCTCCAAACAGAGGTTTTTCAGAGTATTTTTTATGTTAGAAAATAATGATAACCACTGTATTATCTTAGTTTAATGTCAGTGCAGTGTATTATAGTCCTTTACTTCATAACAAGCATAAAAAATCACTAATAGTATGCTAATGTCTTGGTAGCTAGCTAGCTAAATTTCTTGTTCCACCTTAAATAGTCCAGCGGTACTGACACCTGAAATCCCAGAATGTAACAGCTGCCCTATTTAAGGTGAAATGGAAAAATTCAAACAAGAAGCTGGTGAATAGTTTAAAAGCATATGATGCCCTAAATTTAACTCAGTAACTCCATTCCAAAGGACACAGTGAGACTTGAAAACAAGGTGTAGGAGTAAAATAAAAAATGGGATTGGGCCCTAGTGTCTCTGTTTTCATGTAACATAATGAGCAGGAAAATTCATTAATATCAAGAATAGATGTGAAGGACAGATAGGCTAGTGAAAGTTCTATTTGTGCACCAAGATGGTTCTTTAAGTAAAGTTCTTTTAGTAAAGAGAATGGTTCTATTTAGAACCAGAGTTGTATACAGAACCATTTCATGCTAAAATGATTCTTTACATGGTGAAATGGTTCTTCGGATGAATGGAGAATGCATTGTATATGGTTCTAAATAGCACTGACCAATGAACACCCACATGTAGAATTTGGTGCATTTTCGCTGTTGCAGGACTAGATTCAGACAGCGAAAGCTTGTACACGTGACAGCGCAGACAATCAGAGTGTAACTATCCGACTGGCTGTCAAAATTCTGCTAATTATGTCCATTTTAACACACAGTAAATACCATGAGGCGGGTGTAACTGTGGGCAGAGCATCTGAGACAGAAACTAGCAGTGGACAAAGCTCACTTACTCACATACAAACACATACAGTGCGTCCTGCAGGGATGTGCCAGATAATTCCTCATGTCACTCATTCACGTAAACAGGAAGTCTGGCTCCAGAGCTGTCAGAGAATTGTGACATACTCATGGCCTGAGGGAGGAAGTCTGAAAAAAAAATAATTTACTTTATTAATATGTGTCAATTGGTTGTAAGTAATAATTAAATAAAATAAAAATAAAGATTAAATCAAGATAATTTTGTTGTGTAGTTTGTGTTATTTTAGTTATTGTTGTGTTGCTGTTATATATTTCATACATTTGAATGAAGTTAATTCCGTGCATCACTTTTTCAGTGTGCATGCGTCACGCTCTCAGACACTGTTAGAGCTTGTGGCAGAAAGAATGTGCAAAAACTACTCAGACCAGGCCTTCAGTGCAGCGTGACTACTGTTTACAAAGAAACTCTGCTGTCACACAGCTATGATGTCTTACAACACAATGACAATGTTTGTATTGTTGCAGATCATACACACACTGGCCTGCTCAGGTATATAGTGATATATAATATGTGTAACATGATATGATATGACCTGATATGATATGATATGTAATATGTACTTTCAGGAGAATTTAACCATATCACCTTTTTCAACACAAATTTCTTGAGGACTTCAATATTACAGTAACAGCTCAATAAAAACGCACATAAAGGACAATTTAGATAAGAGATTATAAACAGGCTATATTTAATAAGAGGCTTATATGGTGCAGGATATAAAAAAGACAGAAACACAAAAAGGTGTATTTCTCTCTGAACACTGGCTAGCACTAGTATAAAGTGCTAATATTTACCAAGTATGCAAATATTTTCCAAATTTTGCTACTTTCATTCTATTCTTCTATATCACAGTGAAACATATTAATACAATAAAACTAGATAGATAGATAGATAGATAGATAGATAGATAGATAGATAGACAGATAGATAGGCAGACAGGCAGGCAGACATGCAGACAGATGGACAGATGGATAAATAGATAGATAGATAGATAGATAGATAGATAGATAGATAGATAGATAGATAGATAGATAGATAGACAAACAGACAGACATAGGCAGACATGCAGACCGACAGACAGAGAGACATACAGGCAGACAGACAGACAGATAGACAGATAGATAGATAGATAGATAGATAGATAGATAGATAGATAGATAGATAGATAGATAGATGTTAAAATGTTTTAAATTCAGTAAATAACCAGTGACTGTGCATTAAATTGTGTAGCAGTGTGCTCTCTGTACAGGATGTGTTAACTCATTGTATAGATTGTGTATGTGTGAATGGGCTGGTTGTTAATTATTTAAGCAGAGCTGATTGGCCCTTGCTGTGTTTTTGGATATAACTCAGGCTAGAATTCCATTACACTGGAGCAGTTCTGGGACGTGGGCCGATGGTGCCACCATCTGGCAGACACACACACACACACACACACACACACACACACATATAACACACTCACTAAATATAATAATTAAGGGAGAAATCTTTTGATCCCCATCTAAATATTGTGAAAGACAACTCAGCCCCTTTGACATTTTTTCTCCTCCAGGCTATATTTGCTCGGCAGTATTTACCTATGCTGGCATTTTGGGTGTTTGTCAATTTTCTTTATGAGGCTGTAGTGTGCCTGAGCGATGATGCGCTGGCTGACTGCACATTTGCCGGGGTAACTGGATGATATTTGCGTGGACTGACAGAACATGTGAAGAGCCATTTCATATCTGTTTTGACAATTGGAGAGGAAAAAATCATTATTCTTCATTTTCAATACAGAGCTGTTTTTGTTTTTTTTTCCCTCGCACTGTCAATCAAAATGAGCCTGCTGCATGAAACAACAACACTCCCTGGCCACTTTATTAGAAACAACCCAACCATGCTGGTGTACATTTAGAGACTGTAGTCCATCTGTTTCAGCACAGTTGGTGTTAACTATCTTCTAGTCCTTCATACTATATACCTACATTCTGGACCTATAAGGCAGGTGTTTATAATAAAGTGGCCAGTTAGTGGAAGTACAAGGTAGGTGTTTCTAATAAAATGGCTATTGAAGGAAGTACAAGGTAGGTGTTTCTAATAAAGTGACCAGTGAGGAGAAGTACAACATAGGTGTTTCTAATAATGTGGCCGGTAAGAAGAAGTACAAGGTAAGCGTTTCTAATAAAATGGCCAGTTAGTGGAATCTCAAGGTGGGTGTTTCTAATAAAGTGGCCACTGAGTGGATGTACAAGGTAGGCGTTTCTAACAAAATGATCAGTTAGTAGATGTACAACGTGGGTGTTTCTAATAAAGTGGCCAGTGAGTGGAATCACAAGGTAGGTGTTTCTAATAAAGTGGCCAGTAAGTGGATGTACAACGTAGGTGTTTCTAAACAATAATAATTATCCAACATCAGTACCTGACCTCACTAATGCACTCGTTGCTGAATGCAATCAAATCCTCACAGCGATGTTCAGAAGAAATGATGAAAGTACAGACATCTACAAACATATAGTGCAAATCTCAAAACACTCTGTCTTTTCCAGCAGTACATCAGTGAGCACTGGATATAAATATAAAGGGATTTTGACTGAGAGTGACGGCTGCTCTGTTCTGCTCTGTGCTGATATAGTGGAGTCATTTCTCTTCACTGTCCCGTCTGATTTTCTCAGGATTTAGAAATGAGCAGACTGAACAAGCACCTGCCTCGACTCGTCTATTTTCTCCCCTCTTTTGATGTCTGTATTTCAGCCTCCTCCCGTCTTCTTTTCCCTCTGAGAGAGGAGGAGAGGAGGGGCTGCATCACAGCTTTGAAACACTGATTGATTACACACACTGCTGCTACTGGAGAGAGAGAGAGAGAGAGAGAGAGAGAGAGAGAGAGAGAGAGAGAGAGAGAGAGAGAGAGAGAGAGAGGGAGAGAGAGAGGGAGAGAGATGAGTAAGACAGGAAGACAGGGAAGAAACAAAAAGAGAGAGGGACAGAAACAAGAGAAAGAGAAAAAAGAGAAAGAGAGAGGTAGAGGGAAAAAGGAAAGGAAAAGAAAGGAGAGAGAAAGAGAGAAATAGAGAGAGAAGAAAGAGAGAACAAAAACAGACAAAGACAGAGCAAGAAAGAGGAGAAAGAGAAAGAACAAGAAAGAGAATGATACAATAAGAACAGAGGGACAGAGAAAAGAGAGAGAGAGAGAGAGAGGAGTGAGATGGGGATGAAACAAAAAAGAGAGGGAGAGAAACAGGAAAGAATAGAGAAAGAGAAAAAAAGAATGAGTAAGGCAGAGAAAAAAATAAAGGGGAAGAAAGGAGACAGAAAGAGAAGAATAGAGAAAAACAACAAGAAAGGAGAGTGCGACAGAGTAAGAAAGGAGAAAGAGAAGAAGAGAGGGAAAGAGAAATGGCAAAATGGAGAAAGAAAAAGAGAGAACAAGAAAGAGAATGATACAGAATAAAAAGGACAGACAGAGAAAAGGACAGAGGGGAGGAAACAGAAAGAAACAGAGAGAAAAAGGGAGAAAGGAGGTGGAAAGAGAAGGGAGAAATATAGGGAGAAGAGAAAGAGAGAGAGAGAGTCAGAAAGAAAGAGAGACAAAAGGGGGGGAAGAAACAAAGAGATAGAGAGAAACAGTAAGAGAAAGAGGGTGAAAGAGAGGAGCACATGCGGAGAGGTTCTGCTTCATTTTTCCATTTTAAATAAAGATGGAAAAGAGGAGAGGAGAGGGGGTGACTGCCAAAGAGAGAGAGAGAGAGAGAGAGATCCATTTGATCTGAATGGAACTTCAATAAAGCAAATTCTTAGACAGCTATCTCAGTCCATCACAGCCGTGCATTCCCCAGCCAGCGCTCTGTCTCGGCCTCTGACAGACCGCAACTGTTACTCTGGGCCTCCAGAGCGCTTTAGATTAAATCAATATATAATATTACACAGGTCAAACTTCACCCAGACACTCGCCGCATTTGTCTCTGCGGCCCCCAGCGGCCTGTCCTTTTCACTGTGACCAAACACTATTTTTCTAGACTCGCCCCAGCGTGCACTGAAATACACTGCAGTGTTAAATGATATTGTTTTTGAGGATGGATAGCAGTTTCAAAGAGGATCGATGGTCAATGTGAAGCCCAGCCTGGGACTGTGTGATGTATATATAAACACAGACCGCGCTAACACACATAAGGGGTCAGTCTGAGAAATCTAGACTCTATATGTGTGACCACACTGGCCTGAGGGGGGGTGGTATGCTGACCCATGAGAGTAGAGAGAGCCTGGGGACATTTGATGATGCAAGCTTGTCACCTAGTGGCCAAATTGAGGAAATGCATCTCATTAAACGCAATACAGTTTCCTGTGATGCCGCTGTTTGTTGCAAATATTTCTACATAATTAAAGCCCTGCAGTCTAAACAGAGTCAGTCAGAGTGATTTGGTGTTGAATGGTTTAGACTTCTTTACGGTGGTGGTGATAGGACCCAGGGGTCACCATGACTACAACACAAATATAGACATTTTAATTAACCACCAGTGAACCTACACGTCTTCTGAGCTTTTATATGGAATGTTGATGATAGTAAAATAGTGCAAAATCTAAAATAATAAGTTTTCTTTGCCTCACAAAAACCTGCATGCATGTAATGAAATACATTTTAGGCCATACATTTAGCATAAAAGTACAAGATATCTCAGATATCCTGGACATCAGGCAGTGCATTCATAACCATTTCATGTAATACCTTTCTATGAGGGAGCTTTTAGAGGTGGAGGTCTGGTTCCTAACACCACCACTGTGAACAATTCTGATTCTGAGAGCATTTCACACCAAACCACTTTGAATGACTTTGTTTACATCTTAATCTTGTCCATTTTATCAGAAACACCAGCCATGCAGTCCAAAGGTTTCTATTCACCTGCTCCTCCGGCATTTCTTCTCAAATGAAGGGTATTAATGGTGAGTTTATGCTGCAGTAACAGCCTCTACTCTTCTGGGAAGGCTTTACACTAGATGTTGGAACATTGCTGTGAGGATTTGATTGAGCCTTAGTGAGGTCAGGTACTGATGTTGGATGGTCAGTTCTGGATCACTCCAACTCATCCCAAAGGTATTGGATGGAGCTCCATCACTCCAGAGAATGCAACTCCACTGCACCACAGCCTTATGCTGGGGGCCTTTATACCCCTCTAGCCCACACTTGGCACTGGGCTGGTGACTTTAGGCTCATGTGCAGCTTTTCTATGTGGATCACTCATAAGAATAGCTGCCTGGAGATATAATGCATACCACTATTTGTAACTTATATGATGTTTCTAATATCTTCCAACTGTATTGACTTGTTCTTTATTGTTTACCATATTATTTGTTGTGTATTGTTGACCTGAAATCTTTTCATTGCTAACTTGAGAGATTTCTAACAAAGGATAGCAAGGATAATGTAAATCTTCCTAAAAACTGCAAGCTTTAGACAATAAGAATTAATGGTACGAAACTACAATGGTATCTGAAGTCTCAATCTTATCATTAGACTTCTCTCCAAAGCAGTACAACAGTATTTTAGACTTGTTCTCAAGGAAAGATTACAGAGAAGAACCAGGGGCCTTTCTCCTAAAGCAAGTCCTTTAGGAGTTTCTGACTGTTTCAGCTTCACAAAACCAATGGAACTTTAGATCCTCAAGCTATAATTATATAAGTATGATGTTTATGATGAACAGCCATTTTCATGAAACTTGAGGAGTCGTGCAGCTTTTATTTTCAAAGAAGAAAAAAGAAATTGGCGTAAACAGGTAGAAAGTAAAGCACCTATTAGGGTAAAAAAGCAGCGCTGTGAGTGTTAGCACTTTTTGGAGTAAGTAATGCTTTTTAGTTTTTATATCTAAACAGTATTCTTTGCTTCATCTGCTAAAAAGCCAAAAAAAAAAAATGGTCAGAAGCTCATTTTTGGTTGGTCCGAGAGCTGTTTATCTTCCGAAATCCCAAACTTATCCTGAACTGGAGCGGGGGGCTGTTTCACAAAGGATTTCTCAGTTAGCCAGATAAGCCCAAGCATGAGGATTGTCCAAAAAGGGATGTCCATCTTTTCCTTTTGGACAGGCTTGACTTTGGGCTTAAGTTTTCTGGCTAAACTCAGAAATCTTGCTTTAGGAAATTCGCCCCAGGTTAGGTCATGGCAACAAATCCTTTTGAGACAGAAAAATTAGGGTTAGATTAAACTAAGCTTAACGTTAGCTGTGAAATTCTGCTTTGTGAGCCCACAGGGTATTTCAAATGGCAGGATTTCTTGGTTTACCTGATAACTTAGACCAAAGAGCCTGTCCAATAGGAGAGGAGCTAAGGAGCATTCCTACTGGACAAACCTAAGGTTTTGGCTTAGGTTATCCAGCTTACTAAGAAATCCTGCCTTGTGAAATACCCCCTGGTCCTAAAACCTTCCAGGAAAACATCACAAGGTTTCACACTCTTTTATAAGCCTGTAGTTTTTATTACAAACCCTGTTTACAGCCCTGTTAGACATAACAGAACAATTTTGGCTATGTTCACACCTGGTATTAACAATTAACATCTGTCTCGAGTGATCTGATCACAAGTGGACAGAGAGGTACAGCTGTTTCCGCTGACCACTTATGATCGGATTTCTGCCCACATTTACTACAGCAGTCTCTCACAATGTTTGTTATCAAACAAGAGGTCTGGTGGGTTCACCCGCGTGATCTGCTAAATAATTTATGGACAGGATTCATTTTGAAGCATCATTGCAGGTGAACAGCCAACATGTTGCGGGCTTGTGCAGGTGGTCATTATGGCTGGCTGGTTGGGGCGGGCTTAAACAATTATTGGCTGCTTGTAGAAGGGAACAGGCAAGCTACAAATAAGCTGTAAGTGTGCTGCAGAGAAAAACACATTAGTAATAACAAGTAGCAACAGACATGACGCTATAGAACATCCAGTGAATAACTATGCACAAAATCAGATTTTTTCCACAACAATTCTTATGGCTTTTAAACCTGTATTGTGGCCTCAGTCTCTGTTCTGCTTTAAATTAATTTTAGCTGACTTCTGGATGTCTTATAGAGTAATTAGCTAATGATATGATGCTTATATAGATAAAAATAATGTTAGTAGCGAAGCTGAGCTGCTATAAGTTGCTGTTTGTTTGCTTTTTTTTTGTCTGTGTGACCTCCAGTCATAGTTACTCTTCTGTGTCTTTTTGTGGCCGTTTTCTGTTTCCCCTCGTTTTTTCTATGATGTGCAGGTCTGCGAATGGCCACACAGGGGCGCACTGAGGTATAAGAGGTCACCAAGCCACCATCTTGGGAGACGTTCAGGGATTTCTCCCCTCTGACTTGACCTAGAAGAACACCTGTCCAGACCAGCCCGGCACTCTTAACACCATTCTTTGCTTTCATGCAAGCTCTGTGAAGTCTGTGAAACTCTGTGAACACTTGGAAAGGGGGTGAGGGGCTGAGGGGATGAGTGCGATTTTGTTTTGGTTACCATTTCTCGTGGTTTTAAAGCAGGGAGATAGGTTAGCCCTTTGTAATTTGTTTTGCTTTCAGATTTGGTTTTGTTTGTTATTTTGGCATATACTCATCTCTAAAGCCTTCACCCAGCTTGTAATTGAGCTTTTGAAGTAAATAAACCTACCATTTTCTGGTTTCCATGGTGTCCGGTGTTTGGTCTGGCATCCGGTCTGGGGAGAAAGCCCACTCTCATTCTCTATTACAGCCTGACCCTAGACCGGGTTGTAACACCTGTGGTGCCACCCGCTTGTCTGTCCACAGTGACGTCACATGAGTTCACACAGTTTTGAGTAGCCTAAAACATATGTATAACATATATATATATATATATATATATATATATATATATATATAAATATTATATATTTACTTTTCTTTTGCAACATTGAAGTGTTTAATTGTGCTGCTGAGTGTGTGGAGGTGCAATGGGTCTGGAGGCTCTGCTGTCCTACATCAGTGGAGTGGAAGACCACATGCTTAGCCCAAAGTATGTGGGTGCAGGTGAGCATGGCATGTGGATGAAGCAGGCGAGTGCGGCCAAAAATGGTGCTTGGTTTTGCGGGCAGGAGTGGACAGGAATCACACTAGGGCTCATTCCCATTTCACCCCTCACCCCTACCACTTAGCCCTTAGCCCTCCCTTTTGCATGTTCACGCCTAGGGGTGGGGTGTCTCAATTTTAGTTGAGATAGAGAGGTATGGGCGAAGTGTTAGGGCTACATGGCCCTCCAAGCAGAGGTTTTTCAGACACACACTCCAAACAGAGTGTTATGAAAAAAAGAAAAAAACGGGTACGGGCATTAAAAATTAGACTCATGCAGACATCTATATCAAACAGTGAGTCCTTGCTGGTGTAAATGTGCAAGCTGTTAAAACATTTATATTACATAGACTGCTAACGGAAAGAAAGAAGCTGCTTTCATCTCTGCTGTGACGTTGCAGCTGACTTAGGTGGTCTTTTGCTGCTGTCAGGGACCCATCGGGACACTTTAGCATTCACACTACAAATGACTTGTGGTCATAAACATCTGTGAACACCTCCAAAGGTGGATTAAGTCTGTACACTTATGATCAGATAACCCAAGACGTATGTTGAATGAGGCCTGATGACACATACTGAAGAATTTTCTTTTTTTTTGTATGAAGCGGTACATTATTAATTAGGAATGGTTTCCTGGGACCGCAGCAGACTGATGCTGTTGCTATGGTGACTGATCTTGTCGTTATGGCGACTGATGCTGTTGTCAAGGCTGCAGAACTAGGATTTGATACAGTATGTCAACATACACTGCTTCAGCTCACATCTTTATCACTGAGCGGATGCTGAGAAAGAAAGAGAGGAGGAGAGATGAATAAACAGTGTTATTGTAAACACACTGTGTTGTTTAGGTCTCTTGTCAACAATTATACTTATTCAAGCTAAATATACTTACTTATGTTTACACTTTATTCTATTTATTGTGTTCTTTTAACGTTTATGCGTCTTGTATGCTGCTGTAGTGACATTATTTCCTTCTGAGATTAATAAAGCAGCTTTAAAAAGTGTGCCCTGGTCAGACTCACCTCTTGCCACTGACCATCAGGTCAAAGGCCAGGTTAATCTGCTCCAGTGAGAGCGTGTGTGTCACAAACTCATCCAGCATCAGTCGGCCGCTCATGTAGTCCTCCACCAGCCTGGGCACTGAATCCACACCCTTCCAGCCTGAGGTTTATACAGCATTTATAAAGCATGCATAAGAAAATCAACTTCTTATTCTTGTTATTATTATTAGGAATAATGATTTAATCGTGCAGATAATTTTTTTCTTACCACCAAAGAAGCTGCCTTTCAGAGTTCGTCCTACTAGGATGTCCATGGGAGTCAGTGTAATTTCCCCCAGCTCTGTCCAGCCCACAATCACACAGGTACCCCACGCAGGTTTACAGGATTCCAACGCCACCCTCTGGTGGTGAAACATTACATTAACTGTTGGGAGCGGGACAAATGTGCAATGCAGAGGGATTTTGTTTTGGAATGTAAAAGGCCTAATGTCCTCCTAATCACTGGATGGCAATCTTACTTCACTGTGAAAGGGGAATTCCACCAATTTATCAAAATTCCTGCATAACTCAGGATTCATTTAGATTTCTTTACAGTGGTGGTGATAGGAACCAGGGGTCACCATGTCTACAAAACAAATATAGCCATTTTATTTACTATCCAAAACCACCAGTGAACCTACACGTGTCTTGAAATGTTAATGATGGTATAATAGTGATAAATCTGAAACAGCAAGTTCTCTTTGGCTAGGATTGTGCCTCACAACACCCTGCACATACCTATTCACCACGAATGGGATTTGTCTATAATCTTCTCAAAACTATCATAAAACAATGTGTCAGACATAAAGCAGTGTATTCATAGCCTTTTCATGTAACAGCCTTCTGTGAGTGAGATTTCAAAGGCATTAAACACTTCAGACGTCTGGTTCCTATCAACACCAAAATGAACAATTTGGACTTTACTCTGAATGACTTTGTTTAGACCTTAATGACTGAAATATGGAGAAATTTAGAAAAATCTGTAGAATTCCCCTTAGGAAATTATTACCGGTAAAGTATCACCTCAACCAAATAAAATAATGTACGTTAAAATATTATTAAAATAAGTCTACTGTGATTTTTTTTCTATTTGTAAAAATCCAATTTGCAACATAAAATCAAATATTTAAAAATAACAAATAAGAGCCTCAAGAGCTGTAAGCCACTAAAATGACCAAAAGCATTAAAAAAGTTCAATCAATTACAAGTTACAGTCACATGATTCCCATCGTAAAAAGCAATCTTAAAACGTTCCTGTTCCCTCAGGCCTTTCAGCTTCTCAAAACAACATGCTTTATTAATCAGTGCCAGTTTCCTGAGCACTAATTAAGCTTAGTCTTGTACTAAACTGCAGTATCTATTGGTGATTCACCATTAAAAAGCCCTTTCCAGTCCACAGGATTAGGCTTAAACTTGACCGAAAATGTATCGTTATCAATGTGAGAACAATTAAACCAACCATAACGGCCACGTTCCCCACACACTCAAAACAGTAGTCCAGGCCTCCACCGGTCATCTCCATCAGAACCTCCTGAATGGGTTTATCGTGGTCTTTGGGGTTTACAAACTCAGTGACTCCAAACTTCCTGCTGATCTCCATCTTAGCTGGATTGATGTCGACGCCGATGATCCTGCTGGCACCGGCAGCCTTGCAGCCCATAACAGCAGCCAAACCCACAGCACCCAAACCAAACACAGCACAGGAGGAGCCGGTTTCAACCTGCAGACAGAAGAACGTCCTCACTACGAGCTTCATGAACTACAAACTGCAACTCAAAAAAGTGTTTCATTACATTATTTCCACTTAAATACATTGTCATTACTGTGAATAGTAAAAAAATCAGAAAACAACTGTTCAGATGTTACATATTTTATTCATGTGAACATCTGAATCAGGTCAATTCAATATGTCACTTTCTTCAGTGTGGCAGCTGGTTCTGATACATGGATTAAGTGTGAATTGCAATTCCAGTTAAACATTCTTAACTTTCAATGCAAGTTAATGTAAATACAATTTATTCCAAGTAATTCTGAAGCACTTCTACTGGTCCATTGATTGTTTTTTACACAATGTAAAGTGCAGCTGCTGTGCTCAAATGATGCATCATGGCTAAGTCCGTAGGGAACAGCATACATTTTGAACCTACCACAGACACTGGAACGCTAATTAAAACACACACACACACACCTTTCCTGTGTTTAGAGCAGCTCCGTATCCGGTGGACACTCCGCAGCCCAGCAGGCAAACCTTGTCCAGCGGAGCGTCCGGGTGGATTTTGGTGATGTTGTATTTGGACACCACCGTATACTCACTGAAGCAGCTGATGCTGGTGAACTGGTACACCTGCTGCCCCCTACAGGTGATCCTGCTTGAGCCATCCTCCAAAACACCCTGCTGAGTTTTCTTCCTGAGAGACAGATAGAGAGAGAGAGAGAGAGAGAGAGAGAGAGAGAGAGAGAGAGAGAGAGAGAGAGAGATTAATGCCTCTCATAGATAGTAATATTAATACATTGTCTTTTAGATAGGTAATATTTCTCTCAAAGTATTTTAACACAGCACATGTACTCACCGGTTTTTAGGGCACAGGTTTGTTTTTGGACTCAGGCAGAACTCGCACTCTTTACACTGAGACATGAACAGGGGGATCACTTTATCTCCTGCAAACATAAAAAACGAACAAATACTACTACTACTACTATTACTACTACTACTATTAATAATAATAATAATAATGATAATAATGATAAAAATAAAAATTGAAACTATCATAACACTGTGTGTGTGTGTATGTGTGTGTGAGGGAGAGTGTGTTTTTTTACCTGGAGAGAATCCACACACCCCCGGCCCGACGCTCTCCACCACCCCGGCCCCCTCATGTCCTAGCACCAGAGGGAAGGGGCGAGGCCTCATTCCTTTACGGTACTCATACAAGAACCCCCAGTCCGTGTGACACACACCGCTCGCCACCATCTGCATGCGCGCACACACACACACACACACACACACACACACACACACACACACACACCCCGATTGTAACAGCATCCTCTGAATTACGAGGTCATAACAGAGTTAAAATATAAATAATGCTACATGCAAACTGAACTGACATTCTTCTTCTTATTATTATTATCATTATTATTATTATTATAGCATTCCTCCATGAAATGCACCACATAGCTTTCATATAAATGATGTAAATGTCTCTGTTTGATGTTATTCATGCCTTCTGCATTGTTTCAGTCATTTCTTTTAATGAAGGCTAATGATGTGTATATAAATGTGTGTATTTATTGTGCTTAGATAACATTTACAGATAAATAGATATAAAGAGTGAAATCACTTGTTATATTAATCATTGCTGATAATGAATTGCACAGTGTAGGTGGAATCCCTATAAGCTCGACACCAGAAGGTATTTGAAGAAGTTTTGGTGAACACCAAAAGTGATTAAATGATGAATAATATATTGTATCAGTCTATCTGTCAATCTATCGGTCCTGATCTCTACATATTAGTCCTGCATGTGTCCAAACACAGGAAGGATCCCTGTGTGTATTTTAAGATCTGCAGCTGAACACTGACCTTAATTCTCACTTCATGAGCTTTGGGTGGAGCGACCTCCACTTCTTCAACACAGAGCGGCTTTCCTGGCTCCCAGGCCACTGCAGCCTTACATTTGATCACCTGCAGCACAGAACACACACTGAAAAGAGAAGTAGAAGAAGAAGAAGAGCAACAACAACAAATGGAAGAAAAAAAAACATACAAAATAAAGAAAAAAATTACCTTATTTTCAGTTGCCATCTCACTCACAATCGATCCTTCTTTCTGCAAAAGTATGAAGCTTCTTTCACAGCTGCTCAACCCTCATGTCAAAACTCAACAGAAATATGTTTATTTCAGTGTTTTGTGAATTTCGTGGTCTGACTGCATTTTCTAAAAGTTAGCAAAAGCAAATTTAACGAAGGCTGAGTTAGCTTTGCCCACATTCAGCACCAACAGATCATGCCATATATCATTGAAAAGTGTGTTTACCAAGGAATCTAACAAGAACATTCAAAAGTGTCTGTTTCCTTTGTTTTAACAGCAACATCACACAAATACGGCAGTTCATTCTTATAGCTGTTTTTCTTAAAATCAGCTTTTCTCCACATTCTGAACTGAAAATTTCTGTTTCTACATTACCATTCCTGACATTTTACATATTTATTCATAACCAGAAGGATTTTCTTAGCTGGATACATGCTAAGTTTTGTACTAAAGAATGATATGAATTAGAATCATAGTGTATTCTTGATTAATCAATAGAACAATGGGAAGTTATTTCTCTGGAGTGTTTCCTTCACAACAAAATAACCATTTTGAGGCACTTACACAGTCATTAGCTCAGCTGTGGTTTGAAGTTTGACCCAAGTTTAAACCTGAATGAGTCACGTGGTTCCTTTAACTCCATTACTGGGTCCTTGCAAGCTGCAGTTTAAAGTGCACCTGCAGTTTAAACTAAACTCAGTTGCTGTGTCATTTAAAAACCTTTAAAAAATCTAATCTGCCACTGGATGGTGCTGTATCAGGTTTAACTGAGGTTTAAAGCAAGAACATTTTTGTACTTGGACCACATTCTCTGCTCAGACAGTATTGCATATGTAGGTCCATATACCTTATACCTGTCATAATGTTTTGTGGACTTTTGTGGTATGTTTTAATTTAGAAAATATTCTATATTGCTTATTTAAACACCCACTGACTTACCATATTTAACTAGACGAAGCGTAAATCAATTAAGCCTTTTCACAATGTTTGTTCAGAGACGCTAAAGATTATCTGTGTTTATCTATCACTATTACTTTTACTCAGTCCAAAGAGCAACTGCTGCAGACAAGCACATCATACCCCTACCCACCCCCCGACCGCAACTGATAGACAGAAAAACTCTAGCCAGGCTAAACAAATCAAAATGATCCGCAATGTTAAGCAAAGTGCACTGCCCGCAGTGTCTTCACCCTGGGGTCAGTGTACAGTATTAAAGTTGGTCAGATGTGCAGCTCAGTGTGAGTGTAGGATGCAGGGCTCGACCAGTCAATGGACAGCCAGTTGTGGAGGACAGCATGAGCAACAATGATTTCCTGAGTTTGATCAGATACTTCAATGTGCAATACAGCATTTACTTAAAATACACCATGAAGTCTTCAAAACATTATGAAGGAAGCTATACAGGCCTAGTTATGAAATATTCATAGACATAATAAACTCATTCAGGTTTAAATTTGGGTTAAACTCCAAACCACAGCTAATTAAGCTAATTACAGTGCAATTTCCCACACAATTCTAACATCAAAGAAGCTTAATTTTAAAATGTATATTTCTATTTAGAAATACTTAAGTAGATCGCACCTCATTTGTATATGTATCCCCCTATCCTTCCCCCCAAAACTTCCAATAAAAAAAGTACTTAAATAAAAATATCAGTAATAAACTGGAATTAAAGTCACTGTGATCATCTATTCAGCTGCTTACACGTCTTATTAAATCTGAAAGCTGAAACTGGATAATGAATGAATGAATGAATTAATTAATTATGAGGATTAACAGCGCCTAAAGTAAACTAAACTGCTGAGTTTTTACCTGAGCGTCACTGAGTGAAGAGAAGTTCTGTGAGTCTTCTGAGCTCTAACGCCTGTAAAGGCTGAATTCCGAATTTAGATTGTAAAAACAATCCCTACTGACCTTTAAACTGGACAGACTGTGCAAAAGGGAGAAATTTACCCTTAATGTGGACTTGCAGGCTGCTTAGCTTGTCAGGCTGCTCCATCCACACACACACACACACACACACACACACACACACACACACACACACCCTGACCACAGCCAATCACATAATAGCATCATCAAATAGCTCCGCCTTCGACCTCAACCAATGAGGTCTCGGAATCACGAAGGACACTTTATACACAATGCCGTTAAGAGGAAGTAGAGACAAAGGCTACGTTCACACAGCAGGTAAAAGTGGCCCATATCTAACACAGATGTGTCATGTGTGTCAGTGTGAACAGCAAAACACATTAAATCTGACAATTTCAATTCTGATCTGGGACATTTTCATATGTGGTACTGAAATCCAATATGCATCCGATATGCGACTCGTTCTAAACAGCCAGATCGGAATTCATGCAACTTATCTAAACTGCTCTGTGTTTGAAGAGATTTTGAAAGAAGTCACCGAACATGGCCATAGGAGAGCCTGCAGTATCAAAGAAAAATTTAATAGTCTGAAAGCAAAGTTTAAAGAAACCAAGGACACAAACCATAGAAGCAGCTGGGGCCGATTGACGCACCCTTTTTACAGCAAATGCAGGACTTCCTATTAGCTCCTGTGATGCTGGTGAAGATGAAACTGAAGCCTCCGGGAGCGGCTGTTCCTGTGGACCCCATTTTGATCGTTCACCTCTGGATAAGCGCGCCATGTAAGGCGTTGTTGTTTTGTGGGTCAGTTTAGAAGCATGATCTGTTCAGACTAATGTCGCACAGAGGTAACATTAAAAAGATATCGTGAACAGGCTTAACAAAAAAATTTGGATTTGGGCCACTTTTACATGCTGTGTGAATGTAGCCTAAGAAACACATCTGGTCAGCCTGCTGGTTGTTTTAAAGCATGGAAGTAAGGTGCTTCACAAGTTGTTCTGAGGAACTTTCTCATATCTCAGGTAGTGATGTCAACCGATTTATAAAAGAATATACTCACCCAACACACACCAGGACATATAAAGAACATAGCTGTTCTTCCAAAATTACAATTTTGACTTTCAAGGAAAGTTACTTTAACATAAGCAGCTAACTTAGCTAACTTAGCTAACCTGACTGGAAATTGTTGGCTTTTAAAAAATATATATATATATATATATATATATATATATATATATATATATATATATACACATTTAATATATCAATGTATTCATGTACATTTAATTTCAAATGATATGAATGATGAGGTGATAGTAAGGACCAGATTGTCACAAAGTACAGGTTTGACACAATTACGTCTAGAAACAAAGAGAAAGCTGCGGCTGCAGCGTTACTGTTCTGAGTAGACTAATCAAAGACGTCAGCTAACAATGCCAAATCTTGGCTGCAGTGCCTTGTTACGTCAGGCTCCTTGTACATTCTCAGTAAACTGCTAGACTTTGAACCTCTGAGGAAGCTGAAGTCAGGATTATATCACATTGTTGCTTGATATTGTTTGCATTTTGATTTACTTTAAGGCTGATATAAAAGGTATATATATAAAACACCTCGTCTTCCAGACTGATTGGAGAGTCAAATATAATATACTGCAATTTATTTAACATGATTTACTTAACATGCCTTCAAGGCTGATTAGATGGCCATTGATAATTTAACATTATTGCTTGACATCATTTGTGATTTGATTTACTTCAAGGCAGCTGTAAAAGGTTCCATGTTGAAGGGCTGACGGGAAATATTACTACCTCACAGGCTGATCAAAAGGTCAACTATCTTTTTTTTCAGTGTTACTTAACGATATGCCTTTCAGACTCATGTGAAGTGCACTAGCCTCGAAGGCTGATGGAAAACACCCTTTGCCTTCCAGGCTGATTGGAAGGCCAATGAAAAACTACTGTAATTTATTTAACATTGCTGGTGTAAATACTACTAGCTTCCAAGGCTGACAGGATAGACTAGCACAGTCTTTCACAACCCTGCTTCTAGACCCTGCCCTGCACATTTTAGTACTTCTACGGCTTCAAAATCATTTTGATGGTACACTGTCTCGTAATAGTGAGAATGGCATCTCTGTCATTGCCACTCTAGGCTGGAACTCCTGCTATAGTACTATGGAACTTTGGAGGAGCAGCAAGAAACCTCTCATGAGAACTGCGTGACGCTTTACAGCATCATGTCACACCAATAACTGTGGCTCTTTAGCTAGCTATAAGAAGCTTGCTCAGTATTCCTAGTATTGACATCATGGCAGAGGCTGCGAAGAGACTGAAGAAGACTTTGTTGGAGGATACTGACGTTCTTTAACTCGGCAAGAGCTAAACGAGAAGAAAGGAATCACGAGTCTCACGGTTAACAGGAAAACAATGAAAATCCAACAGCAGAGTGTTCCTCTACGCCAGTGTGAGTTATAAAAAATTGCAGTGTAGGCTGTGACCTTATCTGTGTCATCCCCATCTTACTGAGTTTTGTAGTAATTTTAAACACCAAAAGTCATCTAACCTCAGTCACATTACAGGCTAACATGCAAAGAAATAAACTGATTTTATCCCAAAAAAAAATTGGTCAGTTTTCATCACCTCACACCAAATAAGCCTTAAATTTTTAAGTTCCCCATGAGGGGGGCTTAAAGCGCGATTTGTATTTACAACAGTGGTGTAAAAATGAAATACAATACAAACTGCCCAGAAGTAAAAATGACCAATTTGCACATAATGCTGCCTTAACACACCCAGTTTTACTCAATAATGGGCTGTTAAAGAGTTGGTTTGTTGTATGAGGTGTGGTGGGAGCAGGAAAACCACCAAAAAACTGCTGAGCACTGGACTTCCAGGACCAGGTTTGAGAAACACTGGACCAACACATCAAAGAATGATTAGATGCCTTCAGCGCTGAGGTAAAAGGCCTCAAATCCTCAAAGTCTTACAGAAAAGACTAGCATCTCTCAGGCCGATAAGAATGCCAATCAGTTCATGTTATAACTTCTTTGGCACTTACTTGCTTATATGCCTTTAAGGCTGATGTAAAAGGTACAGTCTGAAAAGGCTGCTGAGAAAGACTGCCTATGAGGCTGATCAAAAGGTCAATGACCATGTAGCAGAATTTAGTAAGATGCCTACCAGGCTGATATAAGCACACTAGCTTCAATATTTGAACACACGACTACCTCCCAGGCTGATAGCCTGTAATTATTTCCTGATTTCCTGATAGCCAGTAATTATTTCCTGTAGTTTCTTATACATTACATACTAAGACGCCCCCAAGGCTGGTGTAAAGATTTTTGACCTCTAAGGTTGATAGGACAGAACAGAAGCGATGAATACCTCCCAGGCTGATTGGGCCAATTATTTTCCCTTTATTTATTAAACATCACTTTAGAAGCCTAAGAAGTATAAAGTCATGAAACTCCTTCTCGTGTTAGTATGAAGAGTTACAAAAACTGTCCTTGCTAAGTCCTCCTTACTTAATGAAATAATTATCAAGTTGTTTCAATATTAATATAACATCAAAACCTGTTACATGTCATACAGGTCATACAAGTCATGTATTTATTTTTCTTTTCATCAGAAAGATTGTGTCTACAATCTACAACATGAAGGTCTTTATGTAGATATATAAATGTATGAATATGATATATATGTATATGTATATATATATTTGATATATGATTTTTTTTTTTTCTTTAAAATGCATGGAAGTAGTATGTTAGGAATGGTTTCCTGGGACCACAGCAGACTGATGCTGTTGCTATGGTGACTGATCTTGTCGTTATGGCGACTGATGCTGTTGTCAAGGCTGCAGAACTGGGATTTGACACAGTATGTCAACACACACGGCTTCAGCTCACATCTTTATCACAGAGTGGACACTGAGAGAGAGAGAGAGAGAGAGAGAGAGAGAGAGAGAGAGAGAGAGAGAGAGAGAGAGAGAGCGCGAGAGCGAGAGAGAGAGAGAGAGAGAGAGAGAGAGAGAGAGAGAGAGAGAGAGAGAGAGCGCGCGAGTTATTGTAAACACACAGTGTTTTAGTCTTTTGTACAAGTCTTTATTCAAACTATGTATACTTTACTTTTGTTCACACTTTATGTAGTTATGTTATTACTGAAGTTTGTGGGGGGGGCATGGCTGAAACCCCTCCTTCTTCTAATCTAACACCCTATAAATTCACATCCTCACCTTCCGTTCCCGTGACGAAGCGTTCGCAATCCCCTCAGTCCTGCTACAGCTATGAGGGGGTCTAGCCTTCTAGCTACAGGCAGAAACTGCCCAGAACTCCAGCCCAAGGCATGATTTGAACTCCCAAAATCTTTTTATGTAACACCATATGAATCCATATCCCTACCTTCTGTTTCCTGTGACAAAGTTTTCAATCCCCACCACAGCTCCATCTCCTCCCTGTCCTATCAGACCTACCACAGTTAGAAAGGGGGAGTTCACCCTTCTACCTCCAGGCAGAAGCCACCAGAACTCTGCACCAATTCTCCACCAGTTCACCATATGTTGAGGCCATAGTCCAAACTCACAAGTACTTGTTTATCACCCTGAGATTAACAAAATAGTCAGTTTGTCTGTCTGTCCGTCTCTCCATTACAGGTCTGCGCGGGAATGTTTTTTCAGTCCTGTCCCTACAAGATTTCAGCCCGCTCCCGCAGAAAATCAGAATTATTTCTGCTGCACCCTCCCGCAACCAAAACGATTTGTCCCGCTCCCGCCCGCGCAGTTCCACGCACATCCAAAATCTGACACAGTCTAATCACAAATACATTATACTCTGCTGAAATAACACAGCAGTCATGGTCATCAGGCTCACTGTGAGTAACTTCACCAAATGACATTTATTCCCAGTAAACACAAAGCAGGAATTAAACCATAGAGTGGTTATTTTCGGTGTTTTGCTGGGCTGCTGTGGCCGTCTGACTGAAGGCTTCGCCATCTCTCTGTAACGCCCGATTCACACATGCTGTCTCTACGTGGCGTGAGTGAAGCAGCAGCGCGAGTGCTACAGCTCGAATGCGTTGGCCTTTCATAAGTACGGCATTTGTGCTGTGGAGCAGCGAGAAAATTACATAGACATTCCTGTTTTCAGACGAATAAATGGTCACATCAGTCACTCTGTTCAACAAAAATATAATTTATAATCGTACATGGTATATTTGTTTATCCTCGACAACATTCTGACTTGTCATTAGGCAAAAGTTTCAAGACTGTAGACCAACCAGGAAATCTGTCTGCAGCACAGAATGTTTAACTGATATTTCATCATGAATTATGTAAAAAAAAATCGCCTTTTGAAGTTTTTACACGGCCTTCTGTTTAATTTTCATGGCTTATTTCAGTGTATTTTGCTGTGTCACATGCACAGCATGCAAAAAAATCTGCCCCAGGTCTATTCTCTAACACCGCAGCATCTGGGACTGTTTGAAATCGCTGACCACTTAACACGGGCACCAAAATGAAAAGCAAGACTTGCTCATGCCACACAGAGGTAGTATGTATATCAGACCTATGAGAATTTGCTTTATTCATTTGAACTGTTTCACTGTTATATTGTTTAGATATATGACTTAGTGATCATTCTACTTTATTTAGGCTGGTCATTAATTTGCAGGATTTCTCTTCATGCACGCTTCCTCCTGCTCCCGCCTGAAGGGGTCTGATTTCCCTCCCGTTCCCGTGAGCAACACTGAAAATTAGTCCTGCGCCGCAAGATATTGTGGTGGGTCATGCAGGAATCCATGGTAGTGCAGACCTTTATTCTCCATCTACCTATCTGTCTGTCTGTCTACCTGTCTATCTGTAAAGAGTTAATGAGAGATGAATGGAATACATCAAACAGTCCTATTCAACTTTCAGTACCTCAGCTTATGATTTAATTATCAAAACTGCACTGCAAAGGTTTGCATTGCACTCACCTCTTCCCACTGACCATCAGGTCAAAGGCCTTGTTAATCTGCTCAAGTGAGAGTGTGTGTGTCACAAACTCATCCAGCATTATCTGGCCACTCATGTAGTCCTCCACCAGCCTGGGCACTGAGTCCACACCCTTCCAGCCTGAGGTTTATACAGCGGTTATAAAACATGTATAAGAAAATCTACTTTTCTTGTTATAATTATATTGAATAATGATTTCATGCCATAGTTAATTTTTTGGTTCTTACCACCAAAGTAGCTGCCCTTCAGAGTTCGTCCCAGTAGGATGTCAAAGGGTGTCAGTGTAAGCTCCTCCAGCTCTGTCCAGCCCACAATCACACAGGTACCCCCCGCAGCTTTACAGGACTCCAATGCTGACCTCTGGTGGTGATATTACATTTATCTTTGGGAGCAGGGAAATTGTGCAATGCAATGGGATTTTTATAGTGTAAAAGGCCTAGTGTCCCCCTAATGACTGGATGGCAACCTTACTTGAATGTTTAAAGAGCCACCAGTGAACCTACACATTTCTTCTGAGCTTTTATAAGTAATGCAGATGATGGTAAAATGGTTTTCTTTGTGGACCACATCCTGCATGTACCTCTTCACCATGAACGGGCTAAGGCTAAAATTCATCAAAACAGAATGTCTCAAACATCAGGCAGTGAATTCATAACCATTTCATATAACAACATCATGTGAGGGAGCATTTAGAGGAATTAAACTCTTCAGACGTCTGTTTTCTAACAACACCAAAGACTTTGTTTACATCTTAACCATTAAAATATGTAGAAATTTTGAGAAATCAGTGGAATTCCACATTAGGAAATGAAGGAAATGATTAGGAAAAGTATTTCCTTAAAATGAACATTCAGTGACTGAAACATGCTTTATTAATCAGTGGCAGTTTCTTGGGCACTAATTAAGTTTAGTCTTGTACTAAATTCCAGTATCTAATGGTGATTCACAATTGAAAATGCCTTTTTAGTCTAGAGGATTAGGCTTAATCTTGGCCCAAAATTTATTATTATTACTGTGAGAACAATTAAACCAACCATAACGGCCACATTTCCCACACACTCAAAGCAGAAGTCCAGGCCTCCACCGGTCATCTCCATCAGAACCTCCTTAATGGGTTTATCGTGGTCTTTGGGGTTTACAAACTCAGTGACTCCAAACTTCCTGCCAATCTCCATCTTATCTGGGTTGATGTCGATGCCGATGATCCTGCTGGCACCGGCAGCCTTGCAGCCCATAACAGCAGCCAAACCCACAGCACCCAAACCAAACACAGCGCAGGAGGAGCCGGTTTCAACCTGCAGACAGAAGAACGTCCTCACTGTGAGCTTCATGAACCACAAACTGCACAGACTCAAAAAAGTGTTTAACATTTCCACATGAATCAAATACATTATTATTACAGTAAAAAATATCAGAAAACATAACTGTGTAGATTTAATACATTTTATTTATGTGAAGGGCGGCACGGTGGCGCAGTGTGTAGCACTGTCGCCTCACAGCAAGAAGGGTCTGGGTTTGATTCCCCAGCCGGGCGACCAGGGTCCTTTCTGTGTGGAGTTTGCATGTTCTCCCCGTGTCTGCGTGGGTTTCCTCCGAGTCCAAAGACATGCAGTCAGGCCAATTGGACATGCTAAATTGCCCCTAGGTGTGAGTGAATGTGTATGTCTGTCTGCCCTGCGATGGACTGGCGACCTGTCCAGGGTGTATCCTGCCTTCTGCCCCATGACAGCTGGGATAGGCTCCAGCATCCCATTGTGACCCAGAAGGATAGGCGGTTTAGGTGATGTGGGTGTGTGTGTGTGTGTGTGTGTGTGTGTGTGTATGTGTTCATGTGAACATCTGAATCAGGTAAATTCAATATGTCACTTTGTTCAGTGTAACAGCTGGTTCTGACACATGGATTAAGTGTAAACTGCAATTTCAGTTAATCATTAAAAATCTATTTTAGTCCAGGGACAGTGTGATATCCACATAACAAGTTGTTTTTTTGGGGGCTGGTTCAAGATCATGCATAATGTTGCTGTCCAAAACACAAACAGTCTTAACTTTCAATGCAAGTTACTGTAAATTAAATGTATTCCAAGTAATATTGGAGCATTTCTAGTGGTCCTTCATAATTTTTTTATACAATCAGCACAAACCGTGTTGACCCACGCGCCCCCCCCACCCCAATTTTTTTCCCACTTGTAAACAAAAGATCGTAGTGGCATTCATGTGTGCTCATTTTATAAATATGATATTTCCAACATGATTTGAAGACAGCATAAGCTTCCATTATCTACATTAGCCTCGTAAAACTAAAGGAGCAAACTGAAGGAGGGGTGTGGGTAAATTTTAAAACCATCACAGACACTGTAACACTAATTAAAACACACACACACACACACACACACACACACACACACACCTTTCCTGTGTTTAGAGCAGCTCCATATCCGGTGGACACTCCGCAGCCCAGTAGGCAGACTCTGTCCAGCGGAGCATCCGGATGGATTTTGGCGATGTTGTATTCGGGCACCACCGTATACTCACTGAAGCTGCCGACGCCGACAAACTGGTACACCTGCTGCCCCCTACAGGTGAACCTGCTTGAGCCATCCTCCAAAACACCCTGCTGAGTTTTCTCCCTGAGAGAGAGAGAGAGAGAGAGAGAGAGAGAGAGAGAGGAGAGAGACAGAGAGAGAGAGAAAGGAAGAGAGATTAAAAGTCAGTGTACAGAATCTGTAATGTTTCTCTCACAGTATTTTAACATAGCATGTGTATTCACCAGTTTTTTGAACACAGGTTTGTTTTTGGGCTCATGCAGAACTCGCATTCTTTACACTGAGGCAGGAACAGAGGGATCACTGTATCTCCTGTAAACACAAAAATATAATAATAATAATAGTAATAATAATAATAATAATGAAAATTAAAACTGGAACTAAATAAAAACTAAAATACACTAACTGAAGCTAAACTAAAACAGAAAAGCAGTAAATAAAAACTATATTAAATAAGACATAATGAACAGAAACAAAATTGTAGTAACCCTGTTGTGTGTGTGTGTGTGAGTGTGAGACAGTGAGAGAGAGAGAGAGAGAGAGAGAGAGAAAGAGAGAAAGAGAGAGAGAGAGAGAGACTGAGAGAGAGAGAGAGATTTTACCTGGAGAGAATCCACACACCCCCGGCCCGATGCTCTCCACCACCCCAGCCCCCTCGTGCCCTAGCACCACAGGAAAGGGACGGGGCCTCATTACTTTACCGCACTCATACAAATACGCCCAGTCTGAGTGACACACACCGCTAGCAACCACCTGCACGCACACAGAAACACACAAATAACACTAACTTTACCAGAGCTACGACCAAATAAGGAACTCTGGATCTGGGCAGTTTACCTCTATGAGAAAAAATGAATGGCATTTCTGAAAACCAGCACTCTCTCACACTGAGGGAACAAAAATGTTCCAAACTCAATGTTTTGTGTTGTGTGCATGTTCCCCTCCAGTGTAACAGCGTCCTCTGAATTATGAGGTCGTTACAGAGTCGAAATATGAATAATGCTACATGCAAGCTGAACTGATATCATAACACTGACCTCACCAGAACACCTCACAAAAATCCAGCACACTCTGTCCAGTGTGGTAGTAGCGCTGGGCAATATGACAATATTTTATCGTTAACGTGATAAATTACGTCACTATAGTATTTTCTGAGCATTACGTGGATATCGTCACTACTGAAAAAACACTAATTACATATTTCATTACAAAGTGAGCTTAATTAAGCCTGTTTAAATGGATTTACTGCAGTGCATATTGTAAACATTAATATCAATGTAGTTATTGCAGTATATTTAGACTTTTTTAGATTTTTGTCTATTCCTGGATATGTCTTGAAGTATAGTGATATAATCAGTGAAATTAACAGAAGACTTATTTTCATGCAACATTTTTGCAGTGCGCAGCAGTGTTAGCTTGTAGCATGCATGCAGCAATATGTACGTTTTGACTAGTAAAGAACTCGTAACTCAGAGGATCCAGTTTGTGTCCAGTTTGCAATAGTTTTGTTTACCACAGGATGCGACAGCTGTGATGTTTTTAGGACTACAGAATAACAGTCAGAGATCTATTAGGTCTATTGTTCATATTTTACTGTCTTTTATTTAGCAGGTTTTCCTCTCCTTTTTATATTTTATTCAATTTTGTCTTTTATTCTTATTCTTGTCTTTTATTTTATTCTTTTTTTAATTAGTATTTTTTTCATTTATTTCATTTGTATTTTTTTTATTTGTATGTTTTTAATCTCTCTGTAAGCAGCAACATTATTATTATTATTATTATTATTATTATTATAGCATTTCTCTATGAAGTGCACCACACAGCTTTCATATGAATAATGTAAATGTTCCTGTTTGATGTCTTTCATGCCTTCTGCATTGTTTTAGTGATTTCTTTTAATGATGTCTAATGATGTGTATATAAATGTGTGTATTTATTATGCTTTGATAACGTTTATAGATATACAGATTTCTAGGAACAACATCTACACTGCTGTTCAAAAGAATGAAATCATTTCTTATATCAATCATTGCTGTTAATTAATTACACAGTGTAATCAAATTAAATCAAATCATGTTGTCACATCACACTTACACAGGTGTGATGGAGAGTGAAAATCTTAGGCGCTTACTGTAGGTGGAATTACTATAAGCTCGACACCAGAAGGAATTTGAAGTTTTGCTGAACACCAAGAGGTTATTAAATGAGGAATAATATATCATTAATCATGAATTTATAATCATCCTTTTAAGTTATCTGCCTCAAAATATGATCACCACTTTTCAAATATGAGGCATTCTGAATGTTAATTTAACTGAATATTGATTTACTTCATTCTCCATGTTCTACAGCTTTCTCAGTCATTTTCTCAGCTCTGTTCTTCATTGTAGACAAATCTAACATTTATTATTGAAGAATGGGATTCCAGTCTACACTTTTTAAGTTATCATTAAATAAAACATCAAATTATTCATTAAAAATATTATGAAACATGACTCAAAAATTTGAAAGGTAGTCTGTCTATCAGTCTATCAATCCTGATCTCTACATATTAATCCTGCATGTGTCCAAACACAGGAAGGATCCCTGTGTGTATTTTAAGATCTGCAGCTGAACACTGACCTTAATTCTCACTTCATGAGCTTTGGGTGGTGCGACCTCCACTTCTTCAACACAGAGCGGCTTTCCTGGCTCCCAGGCCACTGCGGCCTTACACTTGATCACCTGCAGCACAGGTAAAGATACACAGACACTAAAAAGAGGAGGAGGAGAAGAGGAAGAGCAACAATAACAACAACAAATGGAAACAAAATATGCATTATACATACATACTTACATACATACCTTATTCTCAGTTGCCATCTCACAGTCGATCCTTCTTTCTGCAAAAGTATGAAGCTCTTTTCACAGTCGCTCAATAAACTGTTACTACAACAGAAATGACGATTCCGGTCCCGTCAATCATTTTTTATATGTTTACTGGCTAACATTTGTTCTATTAAACTGGAATCACAACAATGTCGAAACTTAATAGAAATATGTTTCATCCAGCGGTTTGAGAATTAGCTTGAACTCTGACTGCATTTTCTAAAAGTTAATAAAAGATTTAGAAAATTTAACAAAGGCTGAGTTAGTTCTGCTCACATTCAAGTGTGTCTGTTTCCTTTCTAATAACATTCACACTAATACCAAACTCTAACTGCATAGTGCAGTTCATTCTTAAAAAAGTTTCTGAAAATTAGCTCTGTTTCTACAGTACTTGAATTCATGGAATTTAAAATATTTATTCCTAGCCATATTCTGAATATTCTGAAATATATTACAGAGGGATTTCCTTTGTTGGATTTATGTCAGATTTTATTTAAAGAATGAACCAAAAAAAAAATTTACATTAACTTACATTAAAAGTGTGTTTTTCCCTGTAAAGTTACCTTTTTGGAGATATGAGGTTTTCTTCCGACAACAGCGAGATATATATATATATATATATATATATATATATATATATATATACACATTTGGGGGCAATTGTCATTAGCTTAGCCGTGCTTTGGAGTTTAATTCGAGTTTAAACCTGAATGAGTCTCTTACTTTCTTAAACTCCATTGCTGGGTCCTCAGATGCTGCAGTTCTATTTAAAGCCTCCTGACTGCCAGAGGGCGGCTTTAGCCTATGGATGGTTCCCTAGCAAGTACCATGGGTTGAGACCAAAGTCATGTCTGATGTAGCCCTCACTATAAGGGGCATCAACACACATAATTCGTCCTCTTTCCCTTCTCATGTCCAGACCGGATGTGTTGTACAGCTCGAGCGAGCAGCAAGATTACCTTGTCCTCAAGTGCTGGGATTTATTCCGCTTCATTTGTAAGTACTAAAGCTCGCACACAGTGTCTCCCTGTGCTGGTGGTGGATGTCCCTTCCCACTATTCTCACCTCTTGTTTATCCAGGATAGCTTCATTACTATGGACAATCAGGTGTAACTCACGCTTAACGATGTCAGCCACACTGAATGCCCATCTTGCCTTAGTGCAGACCACCTTCGTGAAGCACTGACAGACCCATGCGTGCACTGCGCGGTCACGCCCCTAACTATCCACCAAGGGCGAATCGCAGCCGCTCTGGTGTGTAATGATGCTATGCTCTTCTCTTCGGAAGCACCGGCTACCGTGCGTGGAGTGAAATGCTCAGCTTCATACTTCATACTTCAGCGCATGGGCCCAAGAAGACGTATAAAATGGGTTCAAGATCTGTGCTGCATAAAAGTAGAGAACCTTTCCAGCTCTGTGGACTGTATAGAAGCCTTGTTGGTGCTTCTTCAGCCTCATTGCCTACACACTGGGCTCTTCCTGTGGTGTGGTGCAGGAGTGGAAGGCTCATCCTTAGGAGCCCATAAGCTGGTCTGTGTTTCTCAAAGGCACAAGGCAACTTCGACCTTACAGGGCACAAGGTAGCCCACAGTGTAACCTATACCAGGTACTAGATTCTTCATGCAACTTGATTTAATCCCACTTGATTTAAAGTGGCTCTCACTTAGGACTGGCAATAGTCTCTTCGGAGACTATTCATGCTTCTACTACTCATGCTTTCTGTTAGTCCTACCTGCTTGCAGTGGAGGCCAGATTCCTCTGGCCTAATCCATCTTTCTTGCCAAGAGCAGTGTCACCATTCTTTGTCAATCAATCTATTGGGTTGTCAGCTTACGTGGTTATGTCTGATGACGGAGAGTCATTTTTATGCACCATCTGTGCACTCTGGTAATACATGTCAATGACACGGTCTATTCAGCACACTGACCAACTATTCATCAGCTTTGGTGGCCGTACTGCTAGTGGCACACTCTCGAGGCAGGGGCTTACGCATTGGGTGGCTCAGGTCATTGCTATGGCTTATAAAACAGCTGGTGCTGCACTCCCCAAAAAGGTGGTCTGCCACTCAACTTGGGGTGTTTCAGCTTCATGGGCTGCTCCTAGAGGGGTAACACTTTCTGACATCTGTATGGCAGCAACCTGATTCTGTAGGATGAATGTGGCTTTGACTACAAGCTTGTGTGCTTCAGTTCTGTCAGCCATTGACCGGCCTTAACAGGACATACCAGTCCTCTTGACTATGCTAATATGTGGTTATCCATAGGCTAAAGCTACCTTCTGGTGGTCAGGAGGCATGAAATAGTATGACAGGTAGTAGGTCCTATGAATGCTGGATGACCGCCAGAGCCAGTTGTCACTCGGACACGGTGTGGTAACACAAGACGTTTTCCAAGGATGAATGGTGTGGGTTGACACCCCTTATAATGCAGGCTACATCACACATGACTAGGTTGGTATAAATCTCGATCTGCCCAACTTGCTAGAGAACCATCCGTAGGCTAAAGCCACCCCTGGCGGTCATCCAGCATTCACAGAACCACAATTATATTCGTAACTAATGTTTATAGCGGACCTGCAGTTTAAACTAAATCCATATACTCTGTCTTTTAAAAATGACATAACTGCAATTAGATGGTGTTGTATCTCAAACTAAGGTTTATATTGACATAGTTTAACCAAGGTTTAAAGTGAGATTATTGTAATTGAAACACATTTTCAGCTCAGATATTTTAATATTCCTATTCCTAAATATTCCTAGACACCTTCCGTCATAATGTTTTGTGGACTTCATGGCATATTTAAATTAAATGATGTATTGCACACATTGAGGTACTATACTCAACTAGAGGAAGCATTAATTGCTGCAGTGTTGATTAGGCTTTTATACACTCCATTGTTCAGAAAGCTGAAGATGACCTGTTAAGGCCATCACTGTAAATGACCCCAATGGGAAATTTAATCTCACCAAACATTCATTCTTCATTTCTCCACCTCCACACAAGAAAGAAAGAAGGACAGAAAGAAAAACAGTGCTCTAGCCAGGCTAAACAAGTTAAAAAGATTTGCAATGCTAAGCAGAGCGTATTGCCCGCAGTGTCTTTAGTCTGGGTTCAGTGTGCAGTATTAAAGTTGGTCAGCTGTGCAGCTCAGTATTGGATTTTCCAGCCACCAGTTTTTTGCATCTTTTAAAAACTTGAATGGAAAAAGGCCCTAAAACACCCAAGTGTTAAGTGATAAATTACTGGCCCTACAGATGGTCCATTTATAGTGCACAGCTTTTCCGAAGGTCGCTTTCGGTATTCTGAAATACCTAATCCAAAGCTCGTTTGAAAAATAGCTCTGCAAACTGTGCTCCAGAACTGTCTGGTGCATTTGCGTTCCATGCAAGGTGGACGTCATCGAGGTGGCACAGAGATTTCAGCCCTCATTAGGTGGGCCATCGTCCTGTCGGCATCTCTGAGCTGCACACAATTATAAAAAGATGGCGAATTGCTGTAAAGATAATTCTACTTAAAGCAAAAAACTGAGTTAAATATCTGCATTTTGCTTGTTTCAATGCATCCTCTAATAACTGTAGCCTACGTCATTTGTTCGCGTAACTCTAGTGAAAGAAACACAACTACAGCACAAGCAACAATGATTTCCTGAGTATGGTCAGGTACTTCAATGTGCAATACAGCATTTAATTAAAATACACAATGAACTCCCCAAAACAGGAAGGTATGTAGGCCTTGATATGCAATATTCATGAACATAGGTAATTAAGTAATTCAGATTCAAATTCAGGTTAAACTGTAAACCACAGCTAAGCTAATGACCAATGTGCAATTTCTTTGTGCAACATTTTTTTTTCATTATTAGCTATTATTTTTTTAAAATATGTAAATAGACCACATCTCATTTGAATATCTACATGTATTTCTTCTCCAAAACTTTCAACACACACACAAAAAAAAATACTTATAAAAATAATTATCAGTAATTAACTGGAATAAAATTCAACTGCTTACTCGTGTCTGTTTATCGTGGGTGTATTTTTAATTGTGTCGTTATTAAATCTGAAAGCTGAATCTGGAAGATTAACCACCCAAAACTAAACAAACTAAACTAAACTAAATTGTTGAGTTTTTACCTGAGAGAGACTGAGTGAGTGAAGTGAGTCTGAGTAACTGCGCAGTTCAGTAGGTCCTCTGTCCTCTAAGGCCTGTAAAGGCTGAATTAAAGACTTTGGACTGTTAAAATGCAATTATTACTGACCTTTAAACTGGACAGACGGAACGATTGCGCTTCTTCTGTGTGCAGGATTTCTTAGCGCCGTGAAGAACACCGCCATCTAGTGACGTCAAGTATGTTTACATGTAAAAAGAAAACCTACAGGTTCTAAACAGGAGTAACACTAAGGTACTAAAGAACCTTTGAAAAAAACATTTTTGATGCATAAAGCTAAAGATACAAATAATGTATACACACACACACACACATATATATATATATATATATATGTGTGTGTGTGTATATATATATCAAGGGTGGGAATCTCTAGGCACCTCACGATTCGATTACGATTCAGAGGGCTGCGATGCGATTATAAAACGATTATCGATGCATCTTTTTTTTCTATATAGCATTTATATTTTCTCACTGTGTGAGCTCAAGTTTCGAGTTCAAGTTTCAAGTTTATTTGTCATTTGCACAACATGTCAGGACATTTATGCATCGAAATGCTTGTGGTGAGGCTCAGCTAATCACTCTACAGAAAGTAAATAAGTAAAAATTAAAATACAAGAAAAAACAACTGAAATATATTAAATATTCACAAAATACACACAAAATATACACAGAATGTAGAGACAATATACATTTTAAAGTGACTAAGTGACTCGGTGTTATTGTTATTTAAAGTGACTTGGTACCTTTAAAGCAAAGTATTTGTAATGATCCATAATGAATTTACTTCCAATATCTTTTTTAATAAAACAAATGGAAGTGATGTGGCAAGTGAACTAGAAGGCTCTCATTCAGTGCTCTTGTTTGGAGCACGAGAAGCTGCTGCTACTCATCTGCGATAAAATGCGCAGTTACGGTGAAATAAGATCCAGTGGCAGTGGACGTCCACGCAGCACGTTACAGCTATTCTACCCGTTTTCTTTAGCGATTTTATAACTTCGGTTTTGGCCTCGTTGTAGAGACGGGGGGAATCGCTGTGTCAGTAAAGTATCTTTGTGCAGCATAGCGCGAACGCCCTGTTTCGACTGAGAACCGGCGTGCAGACTGCAGCTCACATAGCAGTGATACGTTATTCGCATTTATAAGCAGCGCAGTTGGTTTCCTGGTACGTTAAATCTGCAACGAGAGACTGTCAAACACTAAAAAGTGGCGAAGCTGAAGTCGCTTCTCTTTCGAATTCTCCCGTTCCACCTTAAATGGTGCCGAATTTACATTCGGCGCCTCAGTTAGAATTTAAGGTGGAACGGGTAAATATAAACAAGAAGCTGGAGAATAAGAAGCGACTTCAGCCTCGGAAAACAGTCGAACGTTGAGAGACATTTAACTGATCTACTTCTGAGGAAAAGTTTTCTGGCGGAGATGGGAGGAAAGCGGCTATAGCTGAGCTAAAGCTTAAAGCAGAGCGAAGTAAATCTGCGCTTTCGTTTATATTGTTTAGCCTATACTAGGACATTATCACATACTGGACATTAAATGTTGCGGCTCCAAAGGTGTTTTGACTTTTGTTGAAAGGACAAAATGTTAACTTTTGTCTTGTGACTCCTGACCTAACCTGGCTTTAATGCAGAGGGAGCCGGTCGGATTTCTCGCTCATCCAGTTGTGTTTTTGTTATGTGCCGCCACAGACTGTCCGGGCGCTGCACTTCCGCACTTCCAGTTCCGCCTTTTGCGTTCCGTGAACATCATGTTATAAATTAAATATTTAGAAAATCAATTTTTGACGTTTGTGAATCGATTCAGAATCGTTCACGTCTGCATCGCGATGCATCTAAGAATCGATTTTTCCCGCACCCCTAATATATATGTATATATCTTCTCAAGGAAGCCAGTATCATTTGTAGTTATCATCCAATACCTTTATCTAATCAATAGATAAAAAAGAAAGTAGAGTATAACTTATAAAAAGTACTCTAACAACAACAATAACAATAATAATAATAATAATAATAATAATAATAATAAACCTACATCTACAATGTTTTTTGTTTCAACATTTTACAAACTATACTAAATCCAATTAGACAGGCCTAATTATGTTCACTTTGTAATAAAACATGTAGTTAGTCAGTCAGTCGGTCAGTGTTCTCAAAGTACTGACGATATCCACTATGCTCAGAAAAAAACATGGTGACCACGATACCAATAAAATATCATCATATTACCCACCCTCACTTTGAACTACTATACTTAACTTGAAAAACACATCAGCAGATTTTGGTCTTTCTTTTCATGATCTCAGAGCGGAGCCGGCCTGTAGGTGGAGTTAATCGTAGTAGAGGAGGTATGAAAAGCAGCCAAATTAAAGGCAGCTGTGCTCCTCTCTCTGCAGAGCCTGAGCCATCCAGCAGCTACCTAACACATCCAGGTCACTTCCTGCAGCACATGACCTCTCCACACGGACAGCATGAGGTCCAGTGGGCTGCAGATGAGTTTACTACTGATAACACTACTGTTTGGCTTCTGTTGTTTGGTCACAGTAACAGCCGGTGAAGTAGGAGGTGAAGTGGCCTGTATTTTCTCTCAGCAGTAGGGCAGATTAGGCCTAATTATCTAGAACCAGCAGTTTGGCTTTGATACAGTTAATGCTCATAATGGGCCACTCTAATAGGCTCATGTTAGCAGAGCTTTGCACATGGACTTCACAATTAGGCCTGTTTACTGTTAGAAATGTCCATATTGTTACTGTCCATTGTTATTGTTACACAAATCCTGTGGCATTTTTGTTCTTGCATCACTAAACTCAGTTGGTCTGTTCCTTGTTTCTTTGTCATCCTCAGAGACATCTTCAGCTCAGGATGAAGCTACAGGTGGAGTCTCTGCTCACTCCGCATATATGGAAAAAATCTATGGCTTTTTGAGCTGCCTGGTGGCCGTGCTGCTGTATGGGAGTAACTTTGTCCCTGTTAAAAAAGTGGACACTGGAGACGGTGAGACATGTTTAGCATGTTCAGCATGTTTACAGTGTTTACATACAGTAACAGAACAAATTTTACACACATGCATCAAATGTATTTCAGATGTAAATCATTGAGTGGTTTAGTGTGAAATGCTTTCGGAATCAGAATTGTTCACAGTGGTGGTGATAGGAATCAGACGTCCACCTCTAAAAGCTCCTTCACAGAAAGTTATTACATGAAATGGTTATGAATGCACTGCCTGATGACTCAGACATTGTTTTACAGTAGTTTTGAGATGGTTTTGGTATTTTTTTTTAATCTTTAAATCAACATTAAATACACAATTTTAGAAACGTGTGAGTTTTGGATAGTAAATATAATGGCTATATTTGTGTTGTAGTCATGACAACCCCTGGTTTCTATCACCACCACTGTAAAGACATCTGAACCATTTCACACTAAACCACTCTGAATCACTCTCTTTACATACACAAACACAGAATTTTTGAAAAATCGGTGGAATTCCCCTTTAAAGAGATTTATGTGTGACACTTAAACTCTGTTTCTGAGATAACTAAGCAGCGTGAATTTACTTCCTGACAAAAGTTTTCTTTTGATATGATTTTTTAAATATACAGTAACTAATCATTTGCATTGATGCACTACAGTGTTGCTGTTGTAGATCCATAGAAGACATAGAGTGGTGTTAAAGTTTGCTCTCCCTATGTGTAGGAATGTTTTTCCAGTGGATTTCCTGTGCTGCTATATGGGTGGTGGGCTTGGTGGGGGACACACTGCTTCGCTCTTCTAAAGCTCATCCAGCCGCCATGCTGGGAGGAGTCATTTGGGCCACTGGTAAGTGTGTGTATGTGTGTGTTATTGGTTGCAGTCACAAATAATCACTTGACTTATATTTACTCGTTTCAGGAAATATTACGTCTGTGCCAGTGGTGAAGTGTATTGGCCTTGGGCTCGGGATGCTGCTTTGGGGAGCCAGTGGATTGTTAATAGGCTGGGCAAGTTCAAGGTGAGCTCAGTCTATGTATTACACTCTATAGGACTTCACCACTAACTCTAACTCTGTTGAAAATGGCCCCAAATCACTGAAACACTATCTAGAACACTATTAAAGAAACAGAAATAGCCTCCAAATCACTATTCATTTATATTCTATGTATTATTATGCATAGAAGCACTATATAGAGCACTATTATAAAAACAGAAATGGTACAGCAGATTTAGCCGTTAACACTTAGGGTAGAAGCCCAGCACAGAGATTGCTTCTAATACTACATTCTGGGCAATCTGATGATGTCACTTTTGCACTGTATGTGTGTTGTAATTGGGTCCATTCTGTCATTGCAGCAGTTAACCTGCATGTGCTGTCATGGAAATCCATATCATAATAACAATTTATGCGGCACTAGTGTACATTATGTTGTATATTCCAAGCATTTGTTACAGAAACACACAAAACTTTCAAAGTCCGATTACTTTTCTCCTGGTGTCCACTCAGGACCACTAGCTCAGGAGTCTCAGTGTCCAGTACAGTGTAGTGATTTTCCTGCTCAAACACACCAACTACATCAATTAAACGATGATGTGTTTGAGCAGGTAAATCACAAACTGCTGGACACCAGCCCTTCAGGACCAGAGTGTGGACCCCTGCTCTAACTCTGTAAGACTGAAAGCGATGATGCACATTAATCCAGTCTTTCTTCACTGCTCTTATGAACGCCTGGATTCGGTATTCATTCGGGTCATTGTGATGGACAACACACATTTAATGCTTATACATAGACAAATGATGTGTTTAAACGTATTGTTGTTCTCAGGTTTGGTCTGTTTGGACTGGATCCTGAGGAAGTCTCTAAGCCGGTGCTGAACTACTGCGGGGCTGGCCTCTGTTTACTCAGGTCAGAAAAACATCTTACTTTACTTGTTCTGCTCATCTCCTGCATCCTATACCTGATTTGGGCCAGGTTTTTTGGATATTGATTGAGCCTAATCTTGAACTAAATTGAAATGGCACTGGAGAATCACTATTGTAAGTCATTGTCTAATAATCATTATTATTTGGTGTATAATTAATCTAGGCTTCATGTTATTTAATAATCCAGTGTTTAGTGGAACTGGTCATGTATTAGTTTAACAGATTGATTTGATGGGGTATGTAACACTTTTTTCCCCCCAGTGCTGTCATTTTCTTCTTCGTGAAAAGTGATGTGCACAATCCTACGTCACCCGAAACAACGCCAATACTGATAGAAGAGGTGAGTTTGCAGTGCTTTGGTGTCACCATATTTCACAGGACTTTCTTTAAACCTTTGCTAGATTCTCAGATTTTGGCAAAATGCTATTTTGTTGCATCTCTTTGCTGAGCTGCCTTTTCTTTATCTTTTTTTTTTATTGTGTTTATAATCTATTTTTATGCAAGCTATTTCTGACCAATGATCTGATTGGTTAAAAGGCATTCTTTTTCATCATTCCATTATCATTCTACTGACCAACTGTTGTTAAGTAAAAACAATGATTGATTTTCTCTAAGCTGCTTAAACTACTTTTTTGGATGTAACAAATTGTAATCAAAAATTTGAAATTGAATATTTAAAACAATGTTCAGGGATTCTTTGCGTTAGTAGATGTTAGCAGACCAAGCCCCCTGAGCAAAGCCTCAGCAGAGGCAGAAGTTGGCCAACTAGCTGGTGGAGCTTTCTATGTTGGCTAGCTAACATTAACACTGGGTAGAGGTTTGTTAGCACATTGTTTCAGGGAAGGCTAGCTGTGGTTACATAATGGCATAAAGTTAGATAAGTTACCTCTCTTTCTATGCAGTCATATGTAAAATCTAAAATGTGGCTCGTGCAAAACTTATTTTATGTTTATTTCTTTCCAAATTGCTGAATAGAGCTTATGAACTAAATTTAGCATAAAAATGCATATTTGAGTTTGTTCCGTTTAAAGGATGTGTTAAGTTTAACTCTGAGAACATTAACAAAGCTCATTTTATTTACCTAACGATCATAGGAGCTACCTTATCAACACTTTAGCTACCTAGCTAACATAGATAACTTGCTAATCAGTTAGCTGACATTTGTCTGAAGGCTGGTACTTCTTTAAAGATGTACAGAGGCCACAATGTGTACAATATCTCAAACTTCATGTTGTGCAAACTGGCGGTGCACACACTGATTAGCTGTTTCTTAGCTTTGCGAGCAGCGCAAGAGCCAAACAAAACTCGGTTTCCATCAGAACTACCAACTAAAAGTTTGAGGATTATCTATAAAAAGAGGTGTAACATTACAAGCATTTACATGATCTTAAAATATTACTAAAACAGTGAAGTATTAATTCTTGGGCAGAAATAAATGTAAGACTTTCCGTTTCGTTTTCTGTACATTCATGGTGTTATTCGTGATGACACGCTCCCTCTTGTTTTCTATTACTTGACTGTCCTTCTGTCTGAAATTTCAGAGGTCACTTTCTGACATCCCTCTTCCCAGTGACTCATGGGTGGACACAATATCACCAAAGACCAAAAGGCCACTGTATGTATATATCTGTTCGTGCTGTTTTATATCTGTAACATATGTAAAGTACACGACTGCTCTAAATGACAAAATGAACTACATGTAAAAGTGACAGACAAAAATCTTGCTTACGTGATTTTTTCCCCCTTAACTAAAATCAAATATGGTCAAACAGCAGATTATTAATAATTAAATAAATCTGGGGGGGGGGGATGGTGTAAATTGGATTTTTATTCAAACACTGTGAAGTGAACTGTGCTGAGTGTGTTCATGTTAACTCTCTCTCTGCAGTGGCTGTATTATTGCTGTCCTGTCAGGCCTGCTGTTTGGTTCTGCATTTGTGCCCATGCTTTACATTAAACACCACGCTACGAGCAACAGCAGCATGTTCACTGGATCTAGTCAGAATGGTAAGAAACTGTGCTTGTATGATTCAAGGCATCGCAACGAGAGACCTGTTTCACAGCTGTTTGACTATGCAGTGGTTGGACAGCATAGGGGTTAACATCATCACCCAACCACTACAGATTGGGATTTGATTTTCCATCCAGGCAGGAGCTTCACTGCTATAGCAATAAGAATACAGGCCTGAAAATATGCAGCAAATGTGGAGAATTGTTAAATATTGTTCATAACCAGCATGCTGCCAGAACCAAACCATTAGTGGGACAACCGAAAACACTGGGGCAAGTGGTGAGAAGTGTACAGTAGATCTGTTCAATGGAGCCAGATTTACAGCAAGTCATCAAAGGTCTGCCTGTTTTGCATACAGCGCATTCCAAAAATGCAGCCAACACAAAGTGATATATGCACACTCTCCTCTGTTCATCAAAGTATTGCATTAGCATATATTGTTTTTACAACATTGTTTTTTGCCACTTTCTACTTTATATAAACATTTAAGAAATAGTAGGTTTAGCAAGGTATGATGATTAGAAAACATAAATGTGTTTGTCATTCGTGATGAAGACCAGTCTACCATTGCCTGATTGGCTAAATGTAGTGCAGTGGCTGCATTCATTCGAATAAAGTTGAAACCTGATGAACGAAGCAGAATTCGCCACACTGCAAACCATCACGCACTGTGCAAAGCGCTTCCACCGAAATAAATAGGATGTGGCTAGGCGACATTGCGAGTGGACATGTATCATTATCCTTAAATGCTTGTTTCTAAGATTAATGAGTTAAATCCATCTGTGAATTTATTTCAAAAACTAAAATATTGAACTTAAATATGAAATGCCCATCTACAGTACAGCGTGATGTGTATATTTTTCAGTCCTGTTGGAAAAGCATCTGAGGTGGTTCCTCATAAAGCTCCTTAAGAGAAAGATCAAGAATGTGTAAAGCTACATCATAGCAAAAGGGGTGGGGCTTCTTTGAAGATATTATTGATAATAAAAATAAAGGGAAAAAAAACTTCATAAGTAGGTGTGTCCAAACGTTTGACTTCACTATTCTAATTGGTACTCCGTGGCCTGGTTTTGTGGACATGGATTAGGGTTAATGTGGATCTTTAATGTGGAACTGACCTTAAATGTTTACTTACAAACATCATGTCCTGTGCCAAATGACAGTGCTGTAGGAATGAAACTTTCACAGACGTGGTGCTGTTTTTCAGATTTAGATTACTGTTTTGCCCAGAGCAGTGGGATTTTCCTCGCGAGCACAGTGTACTTCACTATCTACTGCGCTGCCATGAAGAACAGGCCGCGGATTTACCCCCGAGCCATCTTGCCAGGTCCTACACCCACCCTCCCAGTTGCTTTCAGCTTCAGTAGAATAAGATTATTTTATTGTAACCTTGCTTCAAACTGTGTGGAGTTATTCAGCATCTCTAATAGACTTGATTATGTGGTTTCCGACACTGCATGACACACTGTTTGGTTTTAGTAAGGTGCTGTGCTTTTATCCATGTTTGTGTAATGATTTAGGTAGAGCTAATTGGTGTACATAAGCCTCCATTAATTGTTAGCTACATTAGCTACAGTGCTAAGACTATAGAGGCAAACCTCAAACATCAAACATGTCTCCATTTGGGATAAGAGGGGAAACATAAATGTGCTTTTTTTTGTTTATTTTTTGTTTTTTTGCTATGCTGTCACTAAAGGGAATTCCACCAGTTTTCCAAAATTATTGCACAATGCAGTGTAAACAGTAATTCAGTGTGATTAGGTATGAAATGGTGCATTCTAGAGAGATGCTTTTATACAGAGCAAGCCCAAAGATTTTAATGGTATAACATGGCACGTTTGCCCAAGTGGGGAAATTGAACCCAGTTTGGCCAGTGGAGGGCAGTACCACCGTTACAGTGGTGGTGATAGGAACCAGGAGTCATGATGTCTACATCACAAATATAGCAATTTTATTTACTATCCAAAACCACCAGTGAACCTACATGCGTCATCTTAGTTATTATAGTCAGGTCCATAAATATTTGGGCGTCATTTTAGCTGTCTGCCCCTGATTATTGGAGTTGAAATCAAATAATGAATATGAGCTCAGTGACAATCAGCTTTAATTTTAGGGGTTTATATCTGAACATTATAGTAATTGCACCATTTGCAAGGGCTCAAAAGTAATTAGACAATTGGCTGTTCAGGTGTTCCAAGGCCAGGTGTGTGTTATTCCCTCATTATTCCATTATAAACAGGTAAGTTTTTAAGTCATTTGGAAGCTGTAACTATCAACTCTGAATATGACATCCCAAGAGCTTCACTGCAAGTTGGCTGAAAAATCAAAACAAACCCATCAGAGAGAGAGAGAGAGATTTGTTGATGTTAAATTTATGGTAAATCTTAAAGTTTTCATTGAGGAATATTTTGCCTCACAACACCCTGCATGTACCCCTCCACCACGAAGTAATTTAAACAATTAGTTTTAAGACCAAAATCTGTTCTGAAACTAGAGTAAAACAATGCACCGGACATCAGGCGTATTTATAACCATTTCTTGTAATAACTTTCTGTGAGGTAGCTTTTAGAGGTGGGCGTCTGGTCCTTATCACCACCAGTGTGAACAATTCTGACTCTTTCTCTGTAGAACGACTTTGTTTACATCTTCACCAATTAATTATGAAGACATTTTGGAGAAAGTCTTCTGACTGTGGGAAGAATAATTGTGGGATGAATATTTGTATACTCATGTAAATTCCTGTGTTTTTTAACTGAACGGTGTTTGTGTGTGCAGGGTTTTTAACAGGTGTAATGTGGGGGGTGGGCACGTATTGCTGGCTCCTGGCTAATCGGTTCCTCGGCCCTGTGGTGACCTTCCCTATAGTTACTGCTGTAAGTATAAGCCCTGCTGCCTGTGTCTCTTCAGCCTGCTGCGTTCTCCACGTTCTTCTTTTGTTGCGTGGAGCTGAAGCCTCTGTACGTTTGTACTGTTTCCTTAGTGATGAAGCTGTTTTGTTTGCAGGGTTATGGTTTAGTGGCTGCTCTGTGGGGAACTGTGGTCTTTAAGGAAGTCAAAGTAAGTAGGGGAAGGATATACGCTGTGGATGTTGCATTGTTCTTTGGTCATTACTCAGAGGTTCCCTTCAGCTCACTGTTTATCTTTTTGAATTATGAAATATATCACCACTGTCATATCAAAACATAACTGCATCACCTGAAAATACCAGCTGCCCTTCACACACTTTCTTGTAAACTCATGGTAAACACTTCATTACGACTGGATTGGTCCAACATTACTTGACAGTCTCAAATTAAAGGGGAATTTTACCTTTTTTTCCCCCCAAAATTCCTGTTCTGTTCTAGAGAAACAAAAGAAAAAAAAAATTGTTCAGTGGTGGTGATAGGAACCAGACAGCCACCACTTAAAGCTCCCTCACAGAAAGTTATTACATGTAATGGTTATGAATACACTGCCTGATGTCTGAGACATTGTTTTATGATAGATTTGAGAAAGCTAACTTTTTCTTTTATCATTTAATCAGCATTATATATACATTTTTTTTTTATTAATTTATGGTGGAGGGATACATGTAGGGTGTTGTGAGGCAAAATAGTCCCTAAAGCAAACTTACTTTCAGATTTTCTACTATTTTGCCATCATCAACATTCCGTATAAAACTCTAGAAAAATAGAAGACACGTTTAGGTTCACTGGTGGTTTGGGATAGTAAATAAAATGGCTATATTTGTGTTGTAGTCATGGCAACCCTTGGTTCCTATCACCACCACTGTAAAGACATCTGAACCATTTCACACCAAACCACTCTGAATTATATTTCAACCATTCCATTATGAAACCAACCAATTATGGCAAAATTTAGAAAAATTTCCAGAATTGCCCTTTAATTAAAAGACTAAACTGAACTGAAAACTAAACTCTTCAGATGCCTGGTTGCTATCAACTGTGAACATTTCTTACTCAGTAAGTTTCTCTAGAACGGAGCATTTCACACCAAACCACTCAGAATGACTTTGTTTACAGTTTAACAATTTAATTTTCCAGACATTTTGAGAAATCAGTGAAATTCCCCTTTGATGTACTTTATTTTATTTTTTCTTTAACTTTTATGCACTTCTTATGAGTTGATTTTTTTTCTTTGCCATGTTGGTATTTGTTTCCTCAGGGCCTCGGGAACGGCCTGCTGTTTGTTTTGGCCTCTTGTGTGGTGCTGACCGGCTCTCTCCTTACGGCCTTCTCAAAAATCTGAGAAGCACCAATGCCCACCAGCTGCCTGCAGGAGGCAGCACATACCACAGAACTGCATCCACACCAAACCTTACCAGTTATCCACCTCAAATTATTATATGAAGAGTTGTTTATTTGAATTCTTGTTTATTTAAACTCTTTTTCCCCCCTTTTCTTTTGTGCACTCTGCTTTAAGGCCTGTTATATAAACGTGCTATTTCTGTCTTTTCCTCTGTTCTGGCTCGTCTGCCTGCTCTATGTATTTAATAAGCACATAAAAGTCCTTGTATCTCAGGAATTTGCTTTCAGCCATTCTGCACTCAATCTATGAGTGAAAAAATGCTGTAGCTATGACTGAACCCACGGCCAGTGCGCCAAAACAGTTTACATAGTCCAGCTACAGTGGAACAACTGGGAGCCTTCCAGCAGGCCAAGCCTTTTTCGAAGAGAGTGGTTCCTGTTTAGGGATGGGACCTTTGCTAGTTTTGGTGTTATACTGCTGTGTAAAGCCTGCTGATAATCATACCATTTCAGATTTTAATAAGTTAGATAACCGTCTACGATTAGCATATTTTTAAAAAGTGCTCATAGAAGCAATTAGCTCTACTGCTATGACTGCAAAGCATGTCAGGACAGCATGTTTGCTTATTTAAATTCTGAACAGTACTAGTTCTGGTGCTTAATTTCATATTTTATTTGAATAGTAGTAACCCAGTTTTTCCACCCAATTTAGTCATGCCCAGTTTCACCATTTAACCCCACTAGCTAGGCTTTCCCACATCACACAATGCCGCCAACCTGGGAGAGTGGAAGCTAGCAAGAGCTTCCTCCAAGACACATGAAGCTCCATCACATCTTTGTCATTGGATGGCTCAACACGCTTAGAGGAGAACACTAACTGCTAATATTGTTACATTAGCTAGCATAATGCTGAGTGAATATCTCATCCAAACATGCTAATGTGGCTAATAATGAGTACAAGGCATTAATAAGGTATTTTGCATAATGTGATTAGGTGGCTAGGTGTTTAAATGATATGCTAAAACATAAACATCATTGATAATCATAGCAAATGTTTATTGATTAGTGTGTTTTTTAAAAATGTGTAGTGCAAGTAAATAGCTCCTCTGCTATGTTCATAGTCTAAACAGCAGTCCATCAATATAATATCTGTAGTGTGTATCAATGTGTATTAGTGCTTTTTAAACATTTTCAGTATATTTTAACAGGGTTTCCATAGATCCTTAGAAGTCTTTTAAGGCTGGTTGACCAGACACAGACGAAGCCTAAGCCTAGACTAAATGAAATTTTTAAGGTTTCGTCAATAGGGTTTCACTGTTAAAAATTGTATTTAGTATAGGTTTAAACTTAATCTAGGTCTGGGACACCATCCATTAAAGGTGCCATTGGCAGTTTAGTCCAAAACTAGGCTTAATCCACAAAACCAGCCCATATAATGTTAAAATACTTTTTACCACTAGGTGTAGACGGAGCTTCATCTTGGACAATAAACTAAGGGGTAGCAATTATGCAGAAAACTATGATGATTTCGCTCACTGATATCATTATAGAAAGATTTAGTGTTATCCCATCCATTTGAACACGTTTGAACACTGTGCCAGTTTCAGGGACCCTGATGTAGCTTAATCTTTGAAGTCAATGGGATTTCACACTAAAAATGTAATTAGTGTAGGCCTAGGCTTAATCTGGATCTGGGAAACCACCCTTATAATAATCATATAGTATACAATTCTATAATCAGTTGGTTTATTAAGCCATTTCCGTTCATGTTCATAAATCTGTCTTCTTTTTTTTTTTTCATTTTGCCCCATGATGATGAACTGTTGCTCTCTAACACGTGTCCAGTTAGAGATACCACAATTTGTACTACCTTTAATAACAAATTGTTATCTGATCAATTATAGATTTTTAGGATTAACACATCATTTCTGAGGGTGTTTGAGAGACGTATTCAGCGTGTAGGGAAATTCAATTCAGTTCCATTTTGTTTATTTAACACTTACAATAGACGTCCTCGCCAAGCTGCTTTAAACAAATCAGACTGAGAAGTAAACTAATGCGCTTGGTGATTAGCTGTAGCACATCCAAGTATTGCTATAAATCCCAAGTCTTTTCCTGGAAGGCTCTGCTAGCAATAAAACCAGCCCTCACTAGACTATAAAAAGTACAAACTCCATAACCTATATTCATAATCCGGCCTGCTAGCATATGTTATTCTCATTAGCTTTGATTGCTCATCCTGGGGGGTGGTGTTCAACTTTTCCTGTTTCTTAAAATAGGCAGAAATGCCTCACTCCACCATGCTAATGTGGCTAATTAATGCAAGCTAAGAGCCAAGAATGCTGTTTTCATTCATTGTTAGCAACATAAGCATTTTGTTGAAGCCATCTCTTAAGATTAAAAGTTAAAACTAATGACTTTAAACATGGATAAAAGACACCAAGCTCAAGTGTGCTATCTGCTTTGTCTAACTAGTCAGTCGTGAGGTCAAAGAGCACAATCCGCTGTTGTTATTGCGCCAAGTCACCAGCAGATGTCGCTTTCAGGAGGTGTTCCTGAGCGAAGTGAAACTTCTCATCAGTTTTTCTTCTCTTGCGCTTCAGTTAGAGGATCCTCCGTGTTGCCAGAGCACATAAGGAAGCTATGACAGGCGTACTTTCAAAGAAAACACCTCCACGTCTTCATCCTTCATGAGGATATTTGGCGAGAAGTGCCATTCTAGCGGATTTCGCTGGACGCTGTAGAGGCGAGTGGGATTTATCTACAAAGGGAGAGGCTGGCTGGTCTGGTAAGTCCAACCGGTGCATGTCTCGTTCCTGTGCGTGGAAATACACGGTTTACTTATAGGAAATAAAGGATATAGGAGCAGCAGGGCAGCCTTGGGCACCAGAAAAGAGGCTCCGTCCTCTGCACTGACCATGTGGAGCTTCGCGCCCTAATGGAGCGCTGCGTAATTCCTGCCAGTTTGTTCTGTTCCAAGCTTTTTCGAGTGTCCAGCCGCTGGTGGAGATACCCCAGGGCCAGAAGAAGTGCCATCGTAGCCGGACTTTGCTTCGTTTACCTCTTTTTCGCCGTGCTTCAGGTTAGTTCCGCCCCAGCTGCTGGTAAAGGGCGCATTGGCACCGTCCCCTTGCGCCAACACGATGGTGTCCATGGCCAGAAAACGGATGACAATCCAACACCCACACGCTCCAACGTGGTCTACATAACCCTGAGGTCCAAACGGCACAAGCCTGCTGTCATAAGGGCCACAGTGAGGCCCAAATTGCGCAGGAAGAAAGTGGGGACCTTTGGGAAGCATGACGCACAGGCGCATGGAGGTAAAAGCAGACATGGCCAGGACGCATGGGCGCCAAAGCGCGCCAATGCCAGTGACGCTTGGGCCAAAATCGTACACAAGGGACTGACACTATACAAAGGGGGCCACTTTGAAGATGGCGCGGATGATCTGGGCAGCTCTATCAGAATATACAGCCAGAAGCCTCCTCCATGGTTCAGCCAGGAGGACATGGCCCACATGCGCCTTCTGGCCAACAGTAAGGTCAGAAAGCTGGAAAGACTGCAGCATGAAGGCTCTCCGTCCGTCCTTTTGTTCAGGAGTGCAGCTCAGACACATTCAGAGCACTCAGCAGAGTGCAGCGGAGGCTGCGGTGTCATCAAGCCGCCGGTGGACATGAGTGAAGTGTTCGCTTTCCACTTGGACAGGGTGCTGGGACTGAACAGAAGTTTGCCGACTGTGAGCAGGAGGTTCCATGCACTTGGTAGTGTCTGCCTTATTCACATCTCATAGTTACTGTACTTTAGGAACCAATATCCAATTTATTATATGTGTTCTCATGTGAGTGGACCAGATGTAGCAGTGCTGCTGGAGTTTTTAAACACTGTGTCCATTCACTGTCCACTCTATTAGACACTCCTACTTTGTTGGTCCACCTGTAGATGTCAGAGACAATAGCTCATCTGCTGCTGCACAGTTTGTGTTGACCATCTTCTAGTCATCAGTGGTCGCACAATGCTGCCAACAGGACGCTGTTGGCTGAATGTTTTCAGTTGGTGGACTATTCTCAGTCCAGCAGTGACACTGAGGTGTTTAAAAACTCCAGCAGCACTGCCGTGTCTGATCCACTCGTACCAGCGCAACACACACTAACACACCACCACCACGTCGGTGTCACTGCAGTGCTGAGAATGATCCACCACCCAAATAATACTTGCTCTGTGGGGGTCTTGTCAGGGTGCTGACCATTGAAGAACAGAGTAACAAAGTACAGTCTGTAACTGTGTAACTACATAGTGCTCCTATATGGTCAGTGGAGCTGATAAAATGGACAGTGAGTGTAGAAATATGGAGGTGGGTTTTAATGTAATGACTGATCTGTGTATACATACAATGAAGGCCCTTAAAAACTAATAATATTCCTAAAGCAACCTCATATTGAGACATATTATGTGTATTGCCTACATGTAAGATAATTTCACTTGCCTGTATATAATATTTTGCAGTGCTGCATGTTTGTTATTAATGCTTACAGTTGCAGTTTAGTAATCCGTTTGTAAAACTGGAAGAATGATTACATGACTTCAGTTTTTCTTAAATTTATTAATACTTTTTAGAAAAAAACCCTTTACAAAGGCTTAACATATTTCACCATTGATAATCATTCACTATGGCTGAATCCAAACTTACCATTTGGTCCAAGCCTGATAATGTTTATGTGTAATGTGGTGGTAGAAAAGCTCAGGTTTTCTAAGGTGAGCAGTTTTTGTCTACAGAGGCTGCATATATTTACGTATTTTAAGACTTACAATCATGTTATATCCCTGAAACCACTATTTCTGCTGTACTTTGGGACAGGGTGAGCCTGTTTCAATGTAATTTAGTCATTTCCTGCTGCTCCCACGTTATCCGGATGGATAACAAATGCAATCAGAGCTTGTTTTCAGCTGCTTGGTGAAAGCCACCAGTTAGATTCATGCCACACATTTCCACATCACTTTTTTGGGTGGGAGTTTGCAAGAGCAATAAACACTGATTTTCCAGTATACAGTCATAGAGGTGGGCGATATATCTTATAATGGGATACTTCAAGAAATTTTTACAATAGATGATATGTCACGGTATTTGTTTTTGGTATCTGATCTGTTATAACAGAGAAAAAAACAGTAGATCTACATTTGTAATGATACTATCAAAACGACAATGATTTTTATTCAGTATTTGGCACTAAATCCAGTTAAACAGAACTAATTTAGCTCTCTTTATAATAAAACATGCAGTCGGTCAGTGTTCTGCATATACTGATGATATAAATTATATATTCAGAAAAGCATACTATATTATATTGTGACATATTTTATCACAATAACAATATACACCGATCAGGCATAACATTATGACCACCCACTTGTTTCTACGCTCAGTGTCCATTTTATCAGCTCCACTTACTATATACGTGCACTTCGTAGTTCTACAATTACAGACTGTAGTCCATCTGTTTCTCTGCTACTTGGGTAGCCCTCTTTTCCCTGTTTTTCAGTGGTCAGGACCCCCATGGACCCTCACAGAGCAGGTACTATTTGGGTGGTGGGTCATTCTCAGTACTGCAGTAACACTGACGTGGTGGTGGTGATGTGTTAGTGTGTGTTGCGCTTGTCTGAGTGGATCAGACACAGCAGTGCTGCTGGTCAGAAATTGACCACTGATGAAGGACTAGAGGGTGGCTAACACAAACTATGCATCAACAGATGAGTTATAGTCTCTAACTGTACACCAGCAAGTGAGTGGTCAGGCAGTGTAAGTACACAATTTAAACCCCGCTCATGTAATTTTCTATGCTGCATTGTGTTTCAGGTGGTCAGCTGTGTCCAGTGACCCTGTGGGACCCCTCTATCACCCCTATATCTGGCCAGTTGACCTGGAGCTCCTACCAAACCTCCCTCAAATACAAGTGCTGGCAGCGTGGCACTCCGAAGCCAGAATGGCGCTGCACCAGCATCCACCACCACGAGTGGAGCAAGATGGCTCTGTTTGACTTTCTCCTGCAGGTAGGCCAGTATGTTCATTCTAGGGCTGCACGATATGGACAAAATACTAGTATTGGGATTATATTGCAAGACATAATCATGAAATTTTAGCTTGTGATTATTAAATAATAGAAATGAACAATTTCATTCTTATTTTTGTTCATTGTATGTAACTATTAAAGTAAAGCCTAGAGTGGTCAGATTGGCAGATTAGCTCCTTTGCATCCTAGCCGTCCATACATAGTGGCAGAAACAGCTTGAGCTGCATTTATTTGCATTTATTTGCATGCATTTTCCTGAACCAAACAGATAAAAACAACAATTCACATTCTGTGTGTTGTAATATAAACATAAAACAATTTGCATGTTGTAGACTTCTGTGAAATGAGTATTGCAACTACCAATATTGCAGTAACAATAGGTAAACTATATTGTACAGCTTTAAATTTATGCATTATTTTTTGTTAATTTTTCCATAATCCTTAATTAGGTTATTAGTAATATGTTCTTTTGTTGAATTTTTTTTACATACTCTTTTTTAAATACTCAAATGTCTCAAATACAGTTTTTTGTATTTGCTAATGCAGGATTTATTGTCCATCACTGATTGCACTGAACATAAATGCATAATGTTGATTATAGTTATACTAGAATAAGCCAAAAGCAAACGTGCTTTATTTTAGATTCACCAGCGGCTGGACAGGAACTGCTGTGGGTTCAGGCCACGCCCGGAGGACAGCTGTGTTGAACTTGGTTACCATGGCGAATGTGGGGACATGGACAATACTGAACTGTCCACCATCGTCCACCGCAGACGTGACCCCCATCGTCTCGTCTTCATCAACAACAAGGGCTTCTTTGATCGAGATGAAGAAAACCTCGACTTTAAACTGCTCGAGGGAATCAAAGAGTAAGTGAAGCAAAACTCTCCTGCCTGGTACCGGCCATCAGATACAGCCGCTGGCCACTTTATTAGAAACAGCTACCTTGTGCTTCCACTCACTGGCCACTTTATTAGAAACACTTACCTTTTGCTTCCACTAACTGGCCACTTTATTAGAAACACCTATCCTGTGGTTCCACTCACTGGCCACTTTATAAGAAACACCTACTTTGCTCTTCCACTAACTGGCCACTTTATAAGAAACACCTACTTTGTACTTCCACTAACTGGCCACTTTATTAGAAACACCCAGCTTGCTCTTCCACTAACTGGTCACTTTATTAGAAACACCTACTTTGTACTTCCACTAACAGGCCACTTTATTAGAAACACCTACTCTGTACTTCCACTAACTGGCCACTTTATTAGAAACACCTACTTTGTACTTCCACTAACTGGCCACTTTATTAGAAACACCCAGCTTGCTCTTCCACTAACTGGTCACTTTATTAGAAACACCTACTTTGTACTTCCACTCACTGGCCACTTTATTAGAAAGTCCTACCTTGTACTTCCATGCACTGGCTGCTTTATTAGAAACACCCACCTTGTGCTTACACTCGCTGACCACTTTATTAGAAACACCCACTTAGCTACTCGCTGTCCATTTTATGAACTAATTCTGATTTATAGGTCCACTATATAGGTGCAGTTACACCTTGGTCCACTGACCAAAAATATCCAGACAAGAGCAGCTCTGTGGTCACAAACTGTCCATTGATGGGTTAGTGGTCACCAACCCTCTTCCTGAAGATTTACTTTCCTGCCCTTCCCCCATACCTAACTCTGCATCTGATCCAGCTAATCAAAAACTCCTGAAGAAGCGAAATAGCTGGAGCAGGTGTGCCAAGTTGCGGTTGGAACTAGACTTCAAACAAAGGTAGATCTCCAGGACCAGGGTTGATGACCACTGGGCTAACACAAATGGTATATTATCACATGATCTCTAACCATCCACCAGCAAGAAGGAGCTACAACGGTTTCTGATAAAGTGGATGAGGGTGTGTACATGTGTGTATTGCCTGGTGTTTCCATTATTTTGTCCTCTCTGACTGTCCACTTGAAGAAGATGTTGATGTCAGACACGCTCTGAGGTAAACACAGATGGCATGTTATGGCTGATAGATGATACCGCTGAGAACATCATGTGTGTCAGTTTGTGGGAGCATGACTGTAACTCACTCTCTGCTACACTGATACTTAATGTGCAGAGAGATAAATCAGAAAGTGAGGGGAGACGTCCCAGCAGAATATTTCAGCTGAGTACGTGCCCTGCATTATAGCACGTTCTTATTAATATACGCTGCCTGTAAACGTTTGATGACACCTCGCCTTCTTTTAGAGTTAATGTTTGACTAATTTGATTACTGTTACTTTTCAGTTGAATATCTGCAACTAGGCTTAGTGACCATAAAACAGTTCTAGGTTCAGCTTCATGTTCATGGAAGTATCTTCCTCTGTATGAAGAGCAAGTTTTGTCTAATTAATGATTTGACAGTTTTCTTTTCCAAACTAGGTTTGAGTGCTGACATCACAACAATGAATAACGTGTGTGGACTTTGGCTTTATTTCCAAGATAGAGCTTTTATCCTTGTGTTCCTTGTTGCTTAGTTGCTTTTTTCAGGATGTAAACCAAGCTCATGTTGCAAACTAGGCCCCCTAACTTTTTATGGGTAATGTATGAGTGTGCCGCTCCTTTTGGACAGCACAAGAGGGGTGATTACAGCCTTTGGTTGTCTTATTGTAGAAATTACACACATAATAATAGTGTGACAGTTTACTGATTCCTGGATTAAAGGGGAAAGTAGTTCATCATGGACTGGAGTGATGTAGTATTGCTGGCTTTGATAGTCAGGCTTTTATTCAAATGTGTAATTTTGGTTTTTGGGGGGTGAGGGGACACTATGAAGTTAGACCTGACTGTTATTAGTTACAGTATCCGTTAACACAGTTTCATATATAATATGTTATGCTATGTGTAGTACAGTGTGATTATAAGAAAGCTAAATTATTTTAACTTAGCTTATCATTGGGGCAGTAAAATCGAGTTCCATGTCACAACAGCTGTTATTAATGTTAATACCAGCTAAGGCTAGCTATGTTACCCCATTTTACTACTTGTCTGGAATGCACAGCTAGAAAAACGTAACGTTGTTGAAGTTGCTTTGACAGAATTATCCTGTCACGGTTGCCTTTTTCATTCACCCCCCCACGTTTCATGCTCTGGACTCAATACTCTTTTTAACTAGCCCTTGTTCACTCTGACTCTCCACTCAGATGTATGTCACAGCTACGTTACACAAGTAGCCACTCGCAGGACAGTGAGGAGTGCGCTCAGTCTTAGCCAGGTTAGCCTCTGAGCTAATCAGCTAGCCATGCAAATGTTGCAATGCAAAATGTTTTTTGAGAAGTTTGAACATAACATACATAGAATTTGTGAATAGTTGCTTTGTCTGGGAAAGTTCTGCTGCTGGAGTTAATACTCAATCTACCACACTTCACTTGAGCTAATAAAGTAATAGAACTGCTCCTAAGACAGCATCTGGGATTCCCCCCCAAGAGGAAATCACAAGGCCAAGTAACGAGGGCATGTTAATACTAGTATTGAAACGGGCAGCTCGCCTGCCTTGTTTCTTCCTAGCTCCGCCCTTTGTTATCATGTCTGTTTGTGTTTGTGCTGCATGGTTGTATATTCCTTCTTCATAGATGCGCCCACTACACAGAAAAGGAATGCATGGAGACCCAGAGAATACAATCCTGCCTTTTTCTTTCCTGTGTTAAAAAGCACACAGATCTAATAGAAGCTAATTAATTAGAAGGTTTTTTTTTCACATTCATTTCTAGTTTAGCATGTTTCATTCGTGAAAAAGGTGAAAGCTTGCGTTATACGTCACATCTCGTAAACTCCTGTATCATCTAGAGCTCATGTGTCAAACACAAGGCCCGCAAAAGAATTTTACTTTTCTATTAGTATTAGCCTGTTTCACAATGTGCTTCACTACAGTCCCCAGCATGCACTGTATCGTAATGTGCTCCGACTCTCCTACCCCAACAACAATCTATGGGACAGTGGTTACACCTCAATTCCACACAATTCTACACAATTCCACACCAGTCATATCACCAAAATGCATTTCAGCTGCAGTTCAACCAACATAAACACTTAACATTAGCAGCTCAGAAATTGAGCGCGAGTCTTAATGAACTTGCAGCAAAGAAAGTATGCCACGTGTGTAGTTCAAGCAGATAGGTAGGTTTAAAAGACAATTGTTTTTTTGGATATTTCAAGTGTCCATGTAATAATTCAAGGTCTACTACAAGTGTCTGTATTTTACTGTTGAAGTTTTTGCATTTTTGAATAAGCAGTGGCCAGTTTGGGTTATAGCACAACATTAATTAAAAATTAAATAAAACCTTTTTTTTTTTTCTGGCCCACAGATTTGATAAAATTTTTAATATGACCCTTTTACTAGAGTTTGACACCTCTGATCTAGAAGAAGAAGAGTTTGCCAGTTGTAAATACGAATTTGTTTGGGAAAACTGGTGTTTCCCAGTTTCCGACACAACTTGAACGCAGCATTAGTCTGTGCGCCTGCTCCATAATCGGTGTTCCCAGCAGGGTCTTGTCAGGGTTCTGGGTATTTTTACCACCTTGCAAGCCATTTTCCCCACTGTACATTATTGATGTTCTTTTGTTCTGCTATGTTGCTGGTTGTCACCTGTTTTGTTCCAGTTGCTTTTTTTTAGTTTCTTGAGTTATGTTCCTAGTCTCATCTGCTTCATCTTCCTCTACTTCATCTTTTATTTGTTTTTTTCCCCTCATACTTAACACATTGGCCTGCTCTGTTTTTCTCCTTCATATACACCTGGGCCCTGTCTTGTGAAGCGGTCCGACCAAATGGAACCATGGTTAACTTGTTTCCCTGGCAGTTAACTTATCAGATCCCCAAACTTGGATGAGTCCTTGCACATGTGCACATGAAAGTGTGATGTTTATGATCAACAACCAATCAAATGAGACATCAGAGGGAGTGGTGTTTGAAAATAAAACATGGGAAAACAATGGTAGAAAAGCACCATGGAAATTTGTGTAGCATAACCAGAGAAATGGGTGTACTGTAACCATGGAAATATGTGTGGAATAACCATGCAAATCAGTATAGTGCAGGGGTCGGCATCATCTGCATCCCTCTTTTACTGCCCTGTTTTGGCTCCACAGCAGAATTAGATTTTTAGGTAAAAATAAAATGATTATCCTTTGCAGTAAAATAAAGCTCTGCTGATCGTTCTAACACAGTTTTAACACTAAATGGTCTTAAAGGCTGGAGTTAATGTATAACTGCTAATTCACCCTTTAACCCTGAAAGTTGGTGCGCAGACTACTGGTCACCATAGCAATGCAGACAACAATCTCACCTAGCTAGTAGCCAATGAAAAGACAAAGAGGAAGATTTCAGACGAACATGAATAATTTGGAGACGAATGGACTTATTTGCATTTATAATCACTCCAGCTGGTTTTCTGATACGTTTAATCTGCAGCAAGAAACTGTCAAACACTAAAAAGTCACGATGCTGAAGTCAGCTTCTCATTTTGAATTCTCCCGTTACACCTTAAAGTATGTGGCAAATACATTCAGGTGCCCCAGGCACCATTTAAGGTGGGGCTGGAAAATTCGAACAAGAAGCTGGCGAATGACAAGCTGACTTCAGCTTCGTTAAAGCTTTAACGTTGAGACACATTTTACAAGAAACTGTTCTACTTTTGTGGAAAAGTTTCCTGCCAGAGATGCAAGAAAAGCGGCTATAGCTGAGCTAAAGCTTAAAGCTAAGCAAAGTAAGTCTGCATTTTTGTTTATTTTTTTTTACAACCAAGATGATAAAACAGACATAATGTTGTGGCTCCTAAAGTGGTTCCATTTTTGCTGAAAAGACAAAATGGCTCTTCTTAACATTTGGGTTGCGACTCCTGGTATAGTGTAACTATGGAAATGTTTGTAGCATAACCATGGAAATGAGTGTAGTGTAACCATGAAAACATGTGTAGGGTTACCAGAGAAATCAGTTTAGCATAACTATGGAAATAGGTGTAGTGTAACCACGGAAACGAGTGTAGCACAATCATGGAAATGTACATAGCAAATCCATGGAAATGGGTGTAACGAAATTGTGGAAATGTGTGTAGTGCAACCTTGGATGTGAGTGTAGCATAATCATGAAAAATGGCATATCCCTCTGATCCAAAAAGTGTTTTTTTACTTCAGAGTTTTACTTCGGAGGTATTTTGGTCCGTTATCTCGGGTTGTAATTCTAATTTCTATCATCTGGATTTTGACTGGGCAGTAACAGTGGACCTGCACTATTTACTGATGTCCTCACAACCTCCAGATAACTTTGAAAGTGACTGGGACTGGGTTTTGAAAAGTATCCCCATATAATTCATGATGACTGTTTGTTTTGTCTCAGGCTGCCTGATGTGGCTGTGGGTGTGCTGAGCTCTCAGCGTTTGAGGGAAAAGCTCCTGCAGTCTCTGTTCCTGGATCAGCTGTACTGGGACAGTCAGGGCGGCCGGCAGGGCATCGAGAAACTCATCGACGTCATCGAGAGACGGGCCAAAGTTTTACTCAGATACATCAATGCCCACGACATCAAGGTCATTCCCATGAACAAATGAGGATTCAGATGAAGAGGACACTTATTTTAGTCTATAAATATTCTGCGTTGTTTTGTTTTTTTCGGTTCCAGCTCAGTGTGCTATAAAAGAGGGAGAACGCTTCCTTCCATTGGTTTACAAACATCATCCTTAAAGCCTGAAGTAGATGCGTTTCAGTCTGTGTACAGGAAATCACCTAACAAAAACTGTCCTTTTTCTCATCGTATCAGTAGCTGGGTTTCCATCCATGTTATTTGCATTTTGATATTTCAAATAAAAATAAAATTTCATCAGTGGAAACGACACATATTGGATAAAATCTCCCAAACTTGGGGTGGATACAAGTTTTTTGCTGCGTTAAACTGCTGAATAAATAACATAAGTGCTAACTGAATAAAGTCACATGACTTATCAGGTGACTGTGATGCCCAGCCGTAGCTACGAAATGTTGCAGAAGGCAGGGACTAATGAAGAAATTAAAACATACGTAATCAGATAATGGAAAAACTCCAGGTCTGCATAAGTCTGACAATAATTCAATTTCTGCTTTGCAACCAGCCAATGAACTCACAGAAGAAGACATTATGTAAATGTAACGTAAAACTCAAACTACATGCCACGCCTAAATATTGTGCCACTTTACCTGAAAATATGAACATACATCATCTAGAAGATGAAGAAAATTTAAATCCTTTGTTTCGTCAAGCATGTGTTTTGCTGCCATCTCGCGGCAACACTGCTGACTTATTTCCGGTACCGCCATCTGTTTTTGCACATGCCCAGACTGAGAAATTCAAAAGAAATCAGAGTAAGAGATTACATGCGCTGAGAAATCTGATTACTGAGCTAACATCCAGCTCTCTTTATCAGATTTCTCATTCAGATTTCTAGACTTAACTCCGATCTAAGAAATCGGAGTGTGCTGTTTACATGACCATTTGAATTATCAGATAATTGCAGAAATCCCATTATGATCGGATTATCGAGTGCATGTAAACCCATTTGCTGATATTAGATGGTAAACTGGTAATTGGTGCCAGCAGCTGATCTTGAGACACTTTGTTTTGCCTTTGTTCGCTTACAATATGAAATATTCCAGAAAAATTGAACAAAACAACAAAGAGAAGTTACCCAATAGTAAGGAAGTATTTTTATTAGCGCAACATAGAGAGTTTCATTGTGTTGTACAGAACTGATGGAAACAGCCTAATGTACTTTTTTGTGTTTTAGTTGAATTTAAAGAAAGAACACTCAGGTTTCGCTATATTTTTAGTGCACGAAGACACTGCGTCATTCCAGAGGTTTAAAAAAAAGTGTTTGCTGTCAACACCAGTTCAGGGAAATAATTAAACCAAAAAAAAAAAAAAGAAAGAGAAGAAAAACTGCACCAGTTATGTTTTTGAGCTGTTTTCCAGCAGCTAAAAGCAGTGTTAGTTCTTAAGAGTACCTCAGCTCGGGTTCTCTGTTTCTACCGAGTGTCCATGTTCCAATCTGGGTTTGATGCTCAATATCTTTAGAAGCATGAAGCAAAATGTGATGATTTTTATTCATATGGCTAGAAAATTCCAATATCCAAGCGTGAATGGTCCCCTTTAATTCGACAAAACAATGGATGAAATAGATACCAGGATTTGTTAGTTCTGTGTTTATAACCATTTTAGTTTTTGTTTCATTGACAGTTTCATCAGCTCACTATCTGTGCATAAATCCGCACAGTGTTTTCCTGCTCTAACGCTGACTTTACATGGAAAAACATTAACACAATTTTAGCATGCACTCATAACACGGTCCACAGCACTGCTTTACAACATAGCATTTGTATTGTTTACTCCAGTTAACATTAACAGGATTCTGTGTTTGCACTGAGCTTATTTATTTTTCTACTCTGTTCAGTGATGTACTCTGACTCAGCTGGTGTCATAAAATAAACTGAACCTGTACATTAATCTGTTTCTGATTGACATGTGAGTTTTCCTAGCCCAGAAAAGGGTGGCATGCTCACTCTAGGTAAGGGGAAGTACCTGCCCCAGGTTTAAGTATCCAGGAGTAAGTATCTCGGGATCTTGTTCACGCGTGATGGAAAAAGGGATTGTGAGATCGGCCGCAGGCTGGGACAGGCAGCTGCAGTAATACAGTCGCGGTACCAGACTGTAGTGGTGACGAGAGAGCTGAGCCATTAGGCAAAGGTCTCTGTTTACCAATCGGTCTACATCCCAATCCTCACTTATGGTCTTGAGCTTTGGGTAAGGACCAAAAGAATGAGATTGCAAATTCTTCTCAGAGTGGTGGGCTGCACTCTACTTGACAGGGTGAGGAGCTCGGTCATCCGGGAAGAGCTCGGAGTGTAGCCGCTACTCCTCCACGCTGAGAGGAGCCAGTTGAGGTGGTTGGGGCATCTGATCAGGATGCCCCTGGACGTCTCCCAGTGGGGGTTTACCAGGCACAGCCTACTGGAACGAGACCCCGAGGTCGTCCTTGGACCCGCTGGAGGGACTACATCTCCAAGTTGGCCTGGGAGTGGCTCAGCATCCCCCGGAATGAGCTGGAAGTTCAGGGGGGACAGGTTCCTCTGGGATTCTTTGCTGTCCCAACTGCTACCATGACCCTATCTGGATTGAGCAGTGGATGATGATGATGATGATGTGAGTTCAGCTATTAATATTGACAATATAAACACAAAGAACTTGGATACAGGTCATATTAGTCCTCTAAGAGCACATCACTGTGCAAAAGTCAGAAACCACCCTTCATTTATTTCATTTTCTAGTAAAAACAGCCAACTTATAACAACAACTTCATAAATCTAATATCAGATGTTTCAGTGTATTTAGTCCGCTCTTTGCCTTCATTCCAGCTTCCATTCTTTTCAGTAGATTCACTTTCAGTTTCTCAAAGAAATCTGCAGACACACCTCCAAAGTTCAGTCTTAGAAGTTGGTTCATCATTTTCTGAAGTAATCTAAACACATTCAGTGATGTTGAGGTCTGGACTCGGGGGTGGTCAGTCCATTGTTCAGCTCCTTTTCTTAGTGAGGCTTCTTGACAGCTACACATCCTTTCAGACCCATAGCGCTGAGTTGTCTTCTCTCAGTGGAAGGATGGACAGAAACACCTATGGTGTCTACCAGAGCTTCCAGGTGGTTGTTAGGAGTCACATTTTCTCTGAAGCAGTTTTGGAAACTCCTGTTTCTTTCATTTTTACTTCTTCTTTTTGCAAGTGGTCTATCTTATATCTGATCTCCTAGAAAATGAATAACTTGTACTCCATGGTTGTTTTGAGAGGAAGTTAAATGAATTGACTTTTGAACAGTAGTGTATGTAGGTGCAGTAAACACTGTTTTAAACAGTTGAGGTGCCTGATAGTCTGTTCTTCAGAAGTGTTTAGAAGTTGTGCAGGGTTAATGGATCGCCTGTGCAGGAGAACCGTGTGAGGAGTTCAAACCAGAGTGTGGGCTCTGTTTGTTTTACTCAGCTAGGTCTGTGATTAAACTGCACTTCAACAACTGGGTACTTTAAGGTTATTGCTCCATACCTGTCGCATGTCTTCTCATGCGGAAGGGTTTAAAGTGAAATCTAAATCTACAGGATTTCCCTTTGTGTGCAAAAGTTTGTGTACCCCTGGTCAAAGCTTTTGTTTATTTTCTTAGTGAAAATAAATGAACATGCCTTCTACATTTAACATCCTACTGAACACTTTAATGCACAATTACTGTTTATTTGCTGAATTAACACAATGGATAAGAATCAAACACAAATATAAAATGCCACAACATTTGCACAGGCCACATTTTCTCTGTAGAGGATGTGTGAAAATAAAGAAAATCAGGAATGTGAGGGTGCCCAAACCTTTGCATATGACTATGTATTATCATACTGTAAACACAGCATTAGCTTCGTTAGCCTCCCAGCTCCTGTGCAAAAGAAAGAAGAAGGCTTCATTTATCAGACATCTGATCTGATCCACCTCTGGGGGAATTTAGAAACTGAGTAAATTTGATTTTCGTGCTGAATTATGGCCGTGGGATGGTTAGCTGTGTGTGAGCAAGCTGGTCTTATTTATGTAAGCAGTGCAGTGGGTTTCTGTGAGAGAACAGCTGAGCCTCATATACTCGTTTTTCTCTCCTCTTCCTTTAGTTTGTGTGTAATGCAGTTTACACAACGTCCTCACACCCACACACACACATATTTGCACATAATAAGCTCCTTTGTCAGAGTAAATACACTTAATGTGTGACAGCTTCACTCACAATATTCTTTCTGTCCTTTCTCTCGCGCTTTCTCTCACATTCCCTCTTTCTGTTTCTCTCTCTCTCTTGCACTCTTTCCCTCTCACACACTCCCTCTTGCTCCCCCCTCTATATCCCCTCTGTCTCTATATCTATCTCCTTTCTCGCACTTTCTCCATCTCTCTCTGCCTGTCTCTCTTTCCTTCTCCTTCCTCTCGTCTGTCTCTATTGATCTCTCCTTTCTCACTCTTTCTCTCTCTCCCCCACTCTCTCTCGCTCTTTCCCTCCTCTTTTTTTTATCTGTCTCTCTCTCTCTCTCTCTCTTTTCTCTCTGCTCTTTTTTAACTCTGCCCCCTCTCTCTTTTTCACTCTCCCTCCTCTCTCCCATCTGCCTTACATTCTCTCTCCTTTTTTGCTTTCTCTCTCCCCCTTCTCTCTCTCTCTCTCTCTCTCTCTCTCTCTCTCTCTCTTTCTCTCTTTCCTCTTTTTTATCTGTCCCTCTCTCTCCCCTCTCTCACCCCTCCCCCTCTCTGTAGGCTGTTATGTCTCACCACACTCATACTATAGGCCAAGTCAGTTTTTTGGAAATGTCACTTTCTTTCCTCTTTCCTTCTTCATGAACTCTCACACACACTTGCTTGGAGGTACACAACATGCAAACATCTGCTTTTTGACAACATTGAGTAGTTTTGCCCAAAACTGTCTTTCCATTTTATGTAAAGTTTGGGGAGGCTTTGCTCTCTTTTGAGTTTTACTGATCATGAAGCTGCTTTGTGCTGATTCTTTGTGCAACATTCATTAAAGTATCTTCCTCAGTATGAAGAGCATGTTTTATGATGATTTGATAGTTTTCTTTTCCAAAGAATCTGATAAAAAAACACTTATTGAAACTCTTCTGGTACAAATGTGCCTTAAACACCTGAAAGGTTTGAGTGCTGATGAGTGCTGACATCACAAGGGGATAAAATGGGTGGAGCTTGGGATTTTTCCCAAGGTGGGGCTTTTATCAGGTGTCCCTTTTATAGTTTTTGCCATGAAAAGGGCAGCATCTAAACAGCTTTCTGTATTATATGTTTAGTTACTGCAAGCAGACAAAGAAACAGCACTCATTTGTAAAGCATGCACTAGGTGTCTTCGGTGGGCTCACCTTGATGGGCTGTTTCAATTTGTGGCATCCACTGGAGAATATCTGAAAAACACGTCTGCTGGTCATAATGTCAGAATCTTGATTATCAGAAAGAAAGCAAATGCATAATTGTGTGACCTCAGCATAGCTATGAAAATTGATATCATGTTTGCTAATGACCACCTAGAGGAAACATGTACAAAGAGAAAAGCAAGGGCCCTAAAACTGAACCTTGGGGGACTCGAGACAAGAAATGTTAATTTTTTA